ATAAACCACAAAGAGAGTAAGTGGAAGATGAACGGATAAGAATATGGAAGTATTGTTGAACTGATAGTCGTAGAATGGATTATGATTTGAATTAAGATGGAAGTAATAAGCCTTGGTGTTTTGTAGTTTGATAATTGATTTCAGATAGCTAAAGTACAGTTAATTGTGATACTAATAGACCCAATTCATATAACCAGTCTTTCCCCGTGTTCCAACCCACCTCTATTAGTTCAATTGCTTTGGTATATTGAAGCTTGAACACAACGAGAACAATACAAGTCATGGCACTCAATTTTGTAAAAAGAAGTCTACTACCTTGCTAAATTAAAGCATTAACTTTGAGAGGCAATATTAGAATCATACAACCAAATTTGAAGGCAAAATTTAGAAGATGGATGCATCTTCAAGTCTTCTTTTTAATAAGACTTCTTGAATTCAATTTGAAGTTTGCAATCAACCGTGGTATGTTAAATTATAAAAGTGGATGCAGCTATAGGTTTAGAAGTACCAACCACCTTTGATTCTTACTTAGATAATATTGTAAGTCTATTAGTTATCTATTGTGGATGAATTATTTGGATGGAAGTTAATAATAAAATTGAATTCCATTAAATAAAATATTATATAAATGAAGCTAGGTCAAATTATATGAGTTTTAATAAACAAAAAATTATTTTAAATAGATGAGTTTTTATATACAAATAAAAAATTATTCTTAGATTTATAGATGAAAAATTATTCTTAAATGAAATTTTAAATTTGGATGATAATTAATACTAAAAAATAAAAATAAAAATCATATAATTTTTTTTTCAAGTATGAGATTTTTTGAGTTATTTTATTAATTGTATTGCAATGTTGTAAATATGAAAGTGTGCCATTTAATCAATTAAGAAGCTTAATTATTTTGAATTAAGAAATAAAAGGATTTTTTAGCTAATTAATTTACAAGTAGTAGTTATAAGCTAAAGAAGTTTTCTTATTTGAGAGTTGTATCTAACTCACAATAGAATAATTATTAAAAGTATTTGACATAAATCAAATGTTAATAGGATTTTTGTTAGAAAATTTAGACAATTATAATTTTTCTAAATTGAATTAGACTTCCAAATAGTGGAAATTTATTTTAGCTCATACTACCTTTTATAATTGGTATGATAGTTGTGTTTCAAGTAACTCTAGCGAGTGCCCTTTTATCCAAATCTGTCATCTAAATAAAGTTGTACACTAAAAAATGAATCCAATGTAGTGTGTTTTTGTATAGATTATTGATCCATAACATCTTAAACTTATTCTAATTGATGAAAGCACTCAATGCTTTATAGAATGTTTCTAATATCTAAAATGTATTTTGCAAATTTTTAGAGATGTATTTGAAAAAGAAATTAATAACATCTACAAAACAATGGTCACAAAGAACTTATCCATTTAACATCTGTAAGCCTTCTATCATATATTATATGTCATTTATCATGTATGATAGCACATCCAAAACAAATAGATTAGAAATAAGGTACTAGAGAGCATCTCAATCTCATTGGCCTCTGAATGTTAAATTTTTTGCTCAAATGTCTATTCACTAATACTATTAATTGGGCTTCCTAGTACATAATAGCTATCTATTTAATCCACTCAATGAGAAGCCTAATTTGTTCATTGTTTGTGATAAGAAGATCCAATTGACTTTGTCAAATACTTTTTTGAAGTCAAGAAGAAAGATTATTAGATCTTGGTTACTCTCTCTAGTACAATAAATTGATTTATAGACTAATAAGATGTTATCTATAATATATCTATGTTTCACAAATCTTATTTGGGTTGGACAAATGTATATTAATAATAATGATTGAAGGCAATTAGCTAGAATTTTAGCAACTAGCTTATATGTGGTTGAAAATATTGTGATGGAGTGGTAATTCTTAATATTACTTATAGATCTTTTTTTAGGGTCCAAATTGAATAAACTTTATTTCAAAGTATGATACAAAGTTTTGGCCTTAAGGAAAAGATTAAAACATTTGATGATATTTTTTTCCACCACACTTCATATTTCATTGAAGAATTTTGTAGAATTAGTATCATCTCCTACAACCTTGCTTTTAGAGAGTTTTTTTGTGGCCTTTTGTACTTCTTTAATAGTGATTGTAGAATAAAAATGAATATTTTGTATTATCATAATATATTTTTGGATATTATTTAGGTAGATATCTCTCTTAATTTGATATTTTTTACTTATATGTTATTAATATATAGAGAGGTATAAAAATTTGAATATACATTGCTATTTCTTCTTATATAACAAAGCTACAATCTTTATTGGGTAATTCTTGAATTTCCATGTAATTATGTTTTTCTTAGTAGAATTCAAAAAACTCTTGGAGCATTGGTTGCCTATCCTTATCCACTTTGGTGTTGTATTATTCTTGGTTTTTTCTAACTTGCTTATTTTGATGGCCTCAATTTTGGCTTATACATTATTAATTCTCTTCCATATTCTTAAGTTGGACCAATGTTCTTATAGCTTAAGTTCTCACTCTTTTATTTCTTGAAATTATTCATTATAAAGTTATTAATGTGGTTATTTTTTGTCCTGAGATAATAACATGCTAATTTTCTTTACTTATTCTAAAGCTATGACTATTTGACATCTGATATCTATGATTTCTTTGTTATTCATGGCATCTTTTTATTCTTAGATAGAATTTGCTTAAGCCTCAATGTCATGTATAAGAGTCCTATTGAAGTGTGGTTATTTCTTATTTTTAATTATTCTATACCTCATTAAGAAGAAGATTGTCACATGGTCTGAAAGGTATAACAAATGTAGCCATATATTGTAAGTACCTCCAAATTATTGTAGATCTTCACTTATATAGAATCAATCAATTCTTGACCAACATAGCATGGAGTTCTATTATCTCCATATGAAATATTTCTTGCCTATATGTTGAAACAAGTCAATATAGGATGTATCCATAATCTCTAATTTAATGACAAAGTTTGTCTATGTTGATTGTTCCCATCTTCCTATATTCTTAAGCTTCATTCTATTACTTCTACCTTTAAGAAATTCTATCATATTAAAATCCCTCACTAGGATCTAAAGTTTGAGGTGAAAAGTTATTGAAAAATTATATTTTATAATTGAATTCTTTGTCATATTATATTTAGAGCATACAAGTTGATTATTCATGTGTGTGTGCCATTTACATCTAAGATAATATATTGAATTTTTAAGTCTATAATTAATTCATAAGCAATTACTTTTAGGGCTAAGCTGTAGAAGATGGAAATAGTTGTGCTTTTAGAAAATCATTCTTTATCTAATACATATGTTGTATTGTTTCAAAAATTGGATTTTCTTTTGAATTAGAATTGATTGATTTAATACAAGCATTCATCTATGCTATAGTAATGTTTCTATAGAAGAATAATTTCAAGTTGTATATCTATTTTTTTAAAGAAGTTCCTAATCTTGGTACTTTTCCTTATCTTGTGAATGTTGTGTCTAAGAAATTCCATATTCATTAAAGCCAATATAATGTTATATAGTCATTCTCATTACATACATGATATGGTAGTAAGAGCTTTGTATTCTTCTTCTTCTAGGCTATTAGTTTTGCAACTTACGACTTGTTCTATTTATAAAGAGAATGGATTTGGCTTCTTCCAATTAAGTCTCTTTGATGAAGGATTGTGGACAAATTCTCTTGTATCTAGTAGTTCATGTATGGATTAAGCTGCTAAGATTAAAAGAAGATGGATTGTTTCTAGGAACTCCATAGAAATAAAGTTGCAAGAAGTTGGGACTAATCAAATCTAAAGATGTCTATCTCATTTCTAAAGGTTGATATCTAAGAAAAGAGGGGAGGAGAAGGGGCTTATATAAATGCTATGCAAATATAGTGGACAATTTTGTCTTTATCTTGTTTCTATTTGTAATCCCATACTATGTCTTTCCATCTCTAAAAGAAATTCTTGTTGTTGTAGGTCTTCACAATAACCTCAAGGAAGGCTTCTGCTATTTCATTGAAAAGGAGTATTTGGGCCTTGCTTGAATCACCATGCAATTTATTTCTTTGAATATGATAACCTAGTGGTATGCCACAAATTGTCTATCAATCATGCTAAGCTATGCTAGCATGTTATAATAATATGGGCTTTCCATAGTGAGTAATAACAAGAATACTTTACATTTATAAGTTTGGATATTGATGGCTATTATTAGGAGAATTACATGTAAAAAAGAGTCTAATAGCGTTAAAGTACGATCCCCTTTCTTATTACTATTTGGATCTATGGAGCTTAGCTCAAGGCTTTTTGATTGATTCTATATATTCCTCGCTAATCTCTTCTTCTATATGAATTGAAAATTTGACATGTTGTTTGACAAAGTGGTAGAGTCTTTGATTATTACTTGTTCTGCTATTAGTTGTGCTATTTCTAGAAAGAATTTATTTTGTGAAAGTAATCAATAAAAAGATGATGTTTCATTGGCCAATATGGTAATTGAAGATTGCCCCTTGCTCTTTGTATGGTTTGGTGTACATGGTGTTTCTTCTATAGCTAGAATAGTGTTATTGGTAGTATAGCATTGAATACTATATTTTCCTATAGTGGTAAGGCTCCATCTTCTCTAATTATTGATTTTAGCTTAGAAAATAGTAGCGTAGAGGAGATTGTCTCTAGCCTCTTGCTTGGCTTATTTGATGAGTGGCCAAGTGGTGGAGTAATTAAGTTATATTCTATTGATAATGGTTGTTCTATTACTAGAGGAAGGAGAGGAGATTTATATTTTGATGGAGTGTGATGAGGATTATATGCTCAATTATTCCATCCTTATTAATATCCAGATCGGCCATGTATTGATTGACTTTGTGGTGGTCTGAATTGTTATCACTATCCTCTATTCCTTTGTATTGTTTGTTGTAAGTAGGGCCTTTTGCATTCTATGGATATGTGGCCTAGGCCTTTGTACTTCATGCATTAATTGGAATGTCTAGGGGCAATAACTTTGTAGTTAAGTATAGTATTTGGATTGGACCTAGAAGATCAATCATGTCTGGCACCTTGAAAATGTCATTGATAATTATCTTAATCCTAAGGCTTGCAATCTAACATGCATAGAAGGACTCTTCCTGGATAAACAATACTTTGTTGTGCCTAGATACCATAATCTTTAGATGAGGAGTGACCCAGAAAAAGGTGCTCTTGCTTTTTCCGGGTCGATGAGGTGTGACCTAATATGGAGGCGCTGCTTCGCCATTGGAGGAGCAACACCCTTGGTTATTGACTTTAGTGCCTCATGTTCATGCAAAAATGGTCATTGCACTTTGGTTGTATGAGGCAAGGGTGTACTCAAGCCCTAGTTCTGTAAACTAGATATTCGTAACCAGTTGCTAATACTACATTAAGCAAAGATTAGAGCGCTGCTAAACCAAACCTATTCGCAATTGTGTCGCCGCCATCGCTCCCACTCTACCTCCGCAGCTCCTTTGCTCTCGCTCTTCTTAACTCTCCTAACCATCTAGTCTATAATGGATGCGGACGACTTCCTAATCCACCACCCCCGATGCACCGCACGCACACATCGCACTACTAGTCCAGCCCACCGACCGTGCCCCCCGCACGACTCGCCACACCTCTTACAATGAAACATAGCAGAACAAGAACCTACAAGACAGGATCTTTGTGAGAAGTTGAGAACTCCTCTATCACACTTAAACAGAATTCGGTTTCCAAAATTAGTAGGGTCCTGCATGCACTGAAAATTAATAGAAGAGCAAGGAACTTTGACCCCACCCGAAAGTCTTCAATATACATGATTCAAGTGTATGACTGGAGCTAAACAATAATTGGACCATACTGTCCATTGCAAAACAGCATAAATACCAGACACCTCTCATATCTAGAGAAATAAGAGAAAATATTGCTCCTCACTGGTACTGCCTATTTGCACTAGACAATCATCTTACTAATCCTGGGATGGGTGCAAATAGAAAATAAATAAATAAATAAATAAACTTTTGATGTTTGCAGAGGTTAAATGGACATTTAGTTTGATTGAGAGCGTTTGCGATTTGTGACCATTCGATTTGGGGACAAGCCGTAAGAGCAACTGTCCCTGATTCGTCTAGAATGGATCCAGTTTTATGGCTTCAACAATTTCACTGGTGTTATATCATCAACATCAATTGAAGTTTTTTTGCCACAAAAAAACACATAAAAACCAAAAATTGTAATCAACATAAATGCTGCCATGGGAGAAGTGGATTAAGGTTAACAATAATTCAGATAGTGAGATTCCTGAGTGATTTGCTAGTATCACTCAGGTGTCTGCAAACCAAAACTCTCAGCGATCTCCAACCAAAGGATCTCAAGGCTTACGCACCCGGCCTAAGCTTATATTGTAACACACTGCTTGATCATAAACTATCGCAGCACTTTCGATTCGTGACCCGCACTAGAAACAGACACTCCGATTCTTCACGCTGGAGCAGAAACAGAAAAAATTCGGCACACCGTGCAAGAGAAGCAGTAGAAAACAAGTTGAAGGTGTGTAATGACTTGTTAAACGAACTCCAACTAACTCTGAGGCAACTCACCACATTCTTCGGCGCTTGCCAGGCATTCCACGCATGTCTCTCATCGTCACAAGCTTCAGCAATATAGCTTTACTCTCCCTGTTTCTCGAAATCCGCCTCAATGAGAGCACTCCGCTTGTATCCAGGTTCGTAGTTCTCAGCTGCCTGACAAGTACATCCGTGGAGCCCTAACCCTAATTCCACGAACACTTTGTCCCTCGAACATCCTGATCTCCTCTCCACCCGCAGCTCAATTTTTCTGTACCATTGAACAAACCATCCCCCTTCCTGTCTGAAACGCCAATGGCAACTCAAGCAGCTGGAAACTGCCATCAAATCGTTTATCAAACTCCTCTTACGCTCCGATTCCGATTGCACCCAACTACCATCATCAACATAATAACCTGCAGTAACACTTTCGCCTCGCTCCCGGACTTCTAAATTCCAACGTTGCTGTCATATGAAAACTACAGTGGACCTCGAAAGCCACCCTGGAACACATTTCAACAGCGTACGAGGTTTTACTCCACACCACTTTGGTCGACTATCTTCTTTCTCTTCTTCTGGAAGGAGGTTTATCCTTCGTCTTCATAGTCACTCTTGCAGACAGCAATTACTACCCAATGCTCATTGTTATCCCTACACTCGGCATTTTGTGTGAAGGCGGGTATTCTGTGGCGGACCTCAATCTAAACCAAGAGGACGAACCACAAGATTGGTCTGTTTGAGGATTCAAGTCAATTGCTGATCCAATCAGGATCTCCTCCTCCTCCTCAATGAATCGTTATCATACGAGTGGAAAATCACCACCGCAGTGGCTGTAAAACGAGGCTAACGATTCTAAACAACCACACGTTGAGCTGCAGGGATGGATTGTCAAACTCTACGTTAGCTTCAGAGCAGGACAAGTGTGTGCTGGTGATGGTTGTATGTGGACGAATCTGTGAACAGCGCTGGGGAAAGGACGCTGCGTAACTGACAAACGGTCCTTTTGATTGATGGCACTCCCTGCCTGCCGTTGAAAGCCCAACGAGCGTCTTCCAACTCTCCCTTCTGCTTCATGCCGTTTCCTTCAAACTGGAGCAACAGTGGCCATCAATTCTAAAGCTCTGTGATCACATGCTGCAACAATGGCTGGGTGGATGTCATTGCATACACGGGACCGTTATAAGATGTACTACACTACCCGGTGCAGACAAACCTTGCCATAACTACAGCTGCAATGTGATTCTGAAGTGGCCCCGTGAAAGCAGATCAATAAAAGGAATTTTCCTTTGCGAGTACTAACTTCGTGGGGATTCGTGCCTTGAACTTTGAATCACGAATCGTGATTTCTAGGTTATAGTGTAGCAATGCTGACAGATTTGTAGAGGATACACTCCATTCTCGCAATGTGAGAGTGCGAGAAGGATGTTAGTTCAGATATGAGTTTCATAGACATTATTGAAGGAGTTGAAGTGTGCGTAGCAACTGGTGAAGAGGTTTAACATGACTGGCGCTGACTGTGAAAAGGGTAGAGGAGCTGGCCAAAATACGTGGTAGATGTAATCGAGATCAAATTGTAGCAATATTGACTTCATTGATCGACTCTACGCGACAGTCATGAAGATTCTAATACCTGCCGACGGCGGGGGCGGCGGCGGCGGCGGCGACCTGAGATGTAGGAAGCTTGCAATGACCGTCCTATTTAGCATTTTCATATTCTTCCAAGGAAGGGAAACCGAGGCGAGAATTGAACCACAAGAGCAGGGTTTCACTTACCGGAATCTGTTGCAAGAAAATCCCGCCACTGATATACCTTCATCTGGGAGTTCCATGACATTGCGCCAAATCGTAGTGGATGCTAACGGATTAGGCGATTTCTTGAGTGTGCAAGCTGCTGTGGACGCTGTTCCTGCAGAAAACCCGCTTCGAGTTGTCATTCGAATTAATGCAGGCAACTATGAGTAAGACATTTAAACTCTAAACCACCAATGTAAAAGTTGCGAGAATTCGAAAGAGGCGAGCCTCTACGACGCCGGCGCCAATGTTTGGTGAGCTGCAATAACGTGGGTTGATACTCAGCTGTCTTCCGATGTTCTTATAAATTGCAACAGGGAAAAGGTACAGGTGCCGAGAACGCTGCCATATCTTACGTTCCAAGGAGCAGGCGCAGCCACAACCTCAATCTCCTGGAACAACATTGCGAGTGACGTTGGCCCTGACGGCAAACAGCTCGGATCATTCAACAGTGCTACCGTCATGGTGTTCGCCTCCAACTTCATCGCCAGAGACATTTCTTTCAGGGTGATTGAAAAAACCTCTTCTTCCTCTCGCACTCTTTACCTCCTTGACCACAGCCCACTCGGACTTCCAATCACATCTCACTCACTCCTTCACATACATAAACACCCACCCACTTCTCACAGAGCTGCTGCAATTATGTGTAGAACACTGCCGAGGTGCCGCCACCCGGCGCGACCGGGCGGCAAGGGGCAGCGTTCCGAATTGCAGGAGACAAAGCGGCCTTCTACAACTGCGCTTTCTACGGCGGTCAAGACACACTTTGTGATGACACAGGACGCCATTACTTCAAAAACTGCTATGTCCAAGGCTCCATAGATTTCGTCTTCGGCAACGGTCAGTCCATGTACACGGTACAAGACTCCATCGCCACCTCCACTCCTAACTCATCAATCCAGTTCACTATCTCACGTTTAACCCCCCCGCCCCCCTTTATCGAGCATTCACTGTGAGTATGTAACCAGGGATCCACTTTTCATTCTATTGCGACCAGCACCGGGTCTATTGCGGCCCAGGACAGGGACAATCCCGACGACACCAGCGGCTTCTCCTTTGTGGGCTGCCAAATCACAGGTACCGGGAGCAACTACCTGGGGAGAGCCATGGGGAAGTACTCTCGTATCGTGTACTCTGAATGCTATATAGAAGACATCATTCTGCCGCAACTGTGGGACACGGAATGGAACCACGACGGCAAAAATCGAGACCAGTGAGTAGTAACAGCCCCCCAACAATCCTTTGTCTCTCTCTCCCATCGAATTCTTCCTGCTTAACTATTGCGACATTCTTCCAGGCTGCAGGTTTCGGTGTTTGATGAACTGGTGGTGGTTGTGGTGATTCATTCACAGGACGGTGACTTATGGAATATATGAATGCTGGGGCCCTGGAGTTGCGACGTCGGGACAAGCGTGGGGGAACACCATGACCCAAGTCGAAGCCATAGCCTTCACGTCGCTAGAATTCATTGATGGTCAAGAGTGGCTCCTCGAGCATTAAGAAGTCTCGCGCGCCGACACCGCCACCTCGTCGCCATACCGGCCCCGCTAAGTTTCTTGGTATCTATACCGTGGCCTGTATAAAGCCCGCCAAATTTGAGAGGTCTATGGACCCCCCCCCACATTTACACATGCCCAAGGAAAGAATTTGATGGAGACCTCCAATTGCAATCACCATAGTGTGCCGTTTTTTTTGTTTGTTTTTTTTAATACATATTATTGGCATCGCCTATTAAATTATAATTATTTTTAGAGGCTATTGTGAGATGATGTTTTTGATTTTAACTAACTAAAAAAAGAAATATTTTTGAAGCTTTTTTGTAGCTTTAAAAAAGGTGATGCTAGAATTAGGTGTTGGAATGAGTTTGGTATTTTAGATATCAATAAAAACTTCAATTTTGAACGGAGAATTATTTTGTATTGATCACTGTTTGTGAATCACCATCAAACAGGCAGTTTTGGTTCTATTTGAAAATTTCTTATTTAATAAAAACAAAATAAAACATTTAGTGGTTGTGTATATAAAATTTATTTATTATGATTAATTTTAAATTCTGTTTTACCTCCTGATTTCTTATTTAATCTGCTAATAGCACTACTTTTTTTACTTCTAAGATGACATGATTACTTTAGTTATCATAAAAATAATTCCTAAAAATATTTAAAATGTTCAAATGGTTGTTGAATTTTGAAGAATATAATTTGGAAGAAGATGTACATGATGAATTAGTTACTTTTTTATTGTAATCAAAATTTGGTAAACTTAGAATTATTTGTTTAGATTAAATTTTGATACATTTTCAACATAAGAAGACTTTTCCAATGTCAGATTTCATCTTCACTGTCAAAAGAACTACATTTTTCTCATTACAAAGACAACAATACTTAGATACCAAAGCATTTGATATTTATTTTTTTACCATCCAGTCAGTACATTCTAATACATTCTAATACATTCACTTACTTAATTAGTTCTGTCATTTGTGTATTTTTCACATATATATATATATATATATATATGTGCATTTATATTACAAACCTATTGAACCTTAGGTATGATCTCCTGTGCACAGCAATAAGAACATACATATATATAACTGCTTGATTTGCATACAAAAATGTAGTTCCATGAATTTTTTCATTAATATTATAGTTCAAAACCACCTCATTTTTATACATGTGTGTATACAAATATATATATATATATATATATATATATATCAATTACTAATCCTTCACTCACTTGTGCAGGCAGTGTTGTAGTAGTAGTAGTAGTAACACAGGGCATGCATGGGCCTTGCCTAGCCCTGTCCTGGTGCAGAGGCTCTCTCTCTCTTCTGCACAGTGAGCGAGAGTGTGAGGTGCATGCAAGGCCTCCAGTTCCAGGTTGAGACCCATTCTCACTGGCATTCATATCTCTCCTTGCCACAGTCCCTGTCCCCTGGTTCCTCCTATGCATGATGATGATGATGTCCGTGCTTCATTCAATTCCCTTTTCAGTGTTTTGGTCTCACTTAATGTTTTGGCATGCTATTGCCTTTACACCCTCCACCACTGAGATACCACCCCATCACCAGCATCATGCTCACTCGCAGCAGCCTGCTGCCAGTGAGAATGGGAATGTTTTTTGCAGCATTGGTATATGTGTGTTGGTCTTTGATGTGCACATGCTTGCTTACTGTGGGGTTTTTTATTTAAAATTTTAAAGTTTTATGATTTTCTCTTTCCCTAATCGGTTGAAAACTATACATGACCTTAAAGATTGAATGTTGCTGCACAGCCATCTAAGAGTCCTCATTTCATTTACAACAAGTTGTGGAAAAATCCACATCAACCCAATTGAGCTTAGATCCTACATCCAAAGTTTGTTAACTAGAATCATAGCCATGAACTTGTGCTCATCCATCTGTGAATTTGGTTACTTGGAAAATATTAAATAGAATGCTGGTTGTTATTTTATGTAAAAAATATGTTAAAAAAATTCTTAATTGCATACAACCTCAGATATTGCTGTCAGACAATTCGATTATCAACCTCAAATATAGTTTTTTTTTTTTTTTTTTTTTTTTTTTTTCAATTTGGCTTGTTGTCTTAGAATATTGTGGTTTAAGTTGGTTCAAAGTTTGGGGTTGACATTATAAAAAAAAAATTAAAATTTTAAATTAATATGCAAAATTACTAGCCACAATAGATTAATGCGATATAAATAGGCAACAAACTTATTTGAGTAAAGATAAGCTTTAAAATCTTTTGAAGGTGCCATCAATTTGATTTTGTTTCTATCTTTTATCCTCCTTCATATCCAAATAAAATTGCTTCTTCCTCCAAAAATAAAACTCTTTCCAACATCTATTATCAATTCGAGTATCAACCACTCTTTTAAATTAACAGATTCAAAAAAATAAAACCACACAACAATTTCTTGCTTTGTACCCACAAAATCTAGATGTTTTGAATAGTAACTATGTCTGTATTGTTGAAAGTGACTTGAATTTATTGATAATACATACATCTGTAACTTTCATTCTTCTTTTTTGTATAAGATTAAAAACAACGCATTAAACTGTATATTGCTTTGAAGTTTGACCTTAATTCTTAATCTAGACATCTGAGACCGAACTCCAAAGCTCTCAACAAATCTAGCAAGTCCAACTCTTCATTGGCCGAGTCTATTATGCTGCCTTGAGTCTATGTGAGAAAGGAGCCTGAGCACAGACAGACAGACAGACAGACAGACAGTTCTAAATCTAGATTTGCAACTCAGTTTCCTAAATCTGGACAGTTCGAATCCATGTTTTATGCCTCAATTTTTTTCCTTTGAAAATTGATACTTGCAAGAACACGTCGAAAGTTTGAGGCCGAATTACTAGAAGCTCAGCTAGAAACCGGGTTCAATGCAGTCGGCGGTGCTGGTTTCGCTCAGACTGAAGCCAGTAGACGCCCTTGCACTAACAAAAGATGATCCAAAATTCATCATTCCCACAAGCGCACTCGAAGTTGATGTAGAGATTCAGCAAATAATAGTTATTTCAGAGTGCAACGCAGTACAAATAGATGGTTTACGTCTACTTCTCTAGATATCTAGAATTTCGAACAGAGAATCGTGGAACTATAGCTGAGGTTGCTAATCGAATTGTCCGACAGCCACACGAGAGTGGTACTGAAAGAATCTTTCATGAATGGTCCCTCCTTGCAACCATGCATGTATGTCGATCAATGAGGTTCTTCATTCTTCTAGGGATTGGGCGGTGCCAGCAGAATGGGCTTAGCGTAACTGTACATGTAGTCGGCCAATTGGCTGTAGAAGTGGCCCGTGGGGTGGAAGCTGTCGAAGAAGATGTGCTCGTCTGCATTGGAGCAAGCGGGGACCGCTCTGTTGCACAGCACCGACACCTCCAGGTCTCCGGTACCGCAACACCCGACTCTGGCGTACTTGAACCCTGAAAGAAACACAACCGAGCAGTTGCCGAAAGTTGTAAGTTGCTGGGGAAAACCAGTGAGTGCGAATCGATTCTCTAGTGTTTACCAACAAGTGTGTGGAGCTTGAAACTTGCGTTCGATGATGGAGAAGAAGACTGAGCTGGACAATTTACCGAATTTCTGGGGGTCTTGCCAGGCGTTGTAGATTGGGTTGTAGATGTCGAGGATGATGAGCCGAGCTCCGGGGGTCTTCTTATTCATCGCGTCGACTACGCCGGGAAGCTGCTGGTTGAAGCCTAGGGCAACGTCGTTGAGACTCTGTACACATGTCTGGTTTCCGTGGCCGTGGAGCGTGATTTGAGCTGGAAGGCAGCCTAGGGGTGGCAAGTTTAGAATAGCGATGTTGCGACCGCCCAATGAGTAGAGCTCCTGCCAATTTAACCACGTCACACAACATCAACAACAACTTCCTCAGAATTGGTCTAACAGAAACGGTAACCTGAAAATTCTGAAGATTCACATCTTTTATCAGTTTTTCTTTTTTAATCATTTCTCTAAGCAATTGGAGACTCGTGATTCTTGAGACACCTACCATTGTATACTGTTCGACGAAGCCGAGCAGGAGAGTGGTATATGCTTGAGGCGTGTACTTCTTCATGAGGGGAGGGTTGATGTAGTAATTGTTAACCCAATCATTCGAGCCGGTGCTGAACGCGTACAATGCGTTACTGATGATGAAGTTACCCCTCTTGGGCCCTGCGAGACTGAGAACCTCCGCCTTCCAACTTTTGAACCACTCGAACTGTTTAGTTAATCCCACCACATTCTGTCCACACAAAACGAGCAGCCTCATTAAAACCACGGTACAATTGTCTTGTAGTAGCTGGGTCACGAACATAATGGTTAAGTGGTTTTGCAGCTTCCGTGTGCAGTGTTTCATGGGCTACGGTACCATTGTACTGTCAGGAGTAATGGAATAATCCTTGTTTGTTGGGAGTTCAATAAATACGTATGTGTGGATCTATGGTACATAGTGATGGAAGCTACAACAAATAAGTTTTGGCCACGACGTCTTGATCGGAGAAGCTCCAAGGCGTTCATATAGTCACTTGATTTTGATTAGTATGATGGTATTCACAGAAACGCCAAGGGTTGAGCTTGGAGAAGTCACGTACAAAGTGTGTAGCAGTGTTGTCGAACCATCCGGATGCTGAGGAAGCAAAATTGACGCCGGTGAGAATGCTTTCTCCGTGTGCTGCCGGTGACAAGTATGGGAGCTGAAGTGGGATCCCAAGCTTTAGAGCTGCAAGCATCTCACAAAGTGCTCAATTGGTTGTAATTGCCTTTCAGTGACAGATCAAAACGTGTGTATAAGAATAATTGGAGGAAGAGTAAGAAGAAGGAAAAGTTTCGAATTTTGAGCTCCCGGGAATCACTTGCTCTGCGAAGTATAACTAAACCATAGATTGATTTTCATTTCGTCGAATGGATTGAATGAAAATGCTTGCGAGGTTACACAATTGGCGATTCATAACTACTTCAGTAACTGGGCAAGCAGCTGGATTGCATTCGGAAGTTTTTCAACTGCATCACTAAGGAAAGTACTTGTACTACCATTTATCGAGCCACACCAGAGAATGTGCCAAACACTGAAGCTAAGTGCGAGTCACTCGACCAGAACATCATTCGAATGAGTTACGCTTGTTTTCGCTACAATTAGCATAAAGAGAAACACGTTGAAGGATTGCAAAATTCAACAGCTTAGGAAACCGTGAGGCTGAGAGCCTCTGAGGAACCTGAAGGATAACGAGACATGGAGCTTCTGGAGAAACCACTGAGTTTTCCAATCCCTTCATCTTATAAACAAGTACCCTACGTTGAAAACAAAAATATTGCCAGTCTGGTTCGAAACGAAACTCAAAGTGAAACACAAAAATCCTTGCGCGTGCGAAGGGGACTTACAAATATAATCCGTCACAAGCAGCCCATCAGTGAAGCGGCCGGTAGGTACATGCCCCATAAAATTCTTGCCGTAAGGTGCGAAGTCAGCCTTGACGATGGTGGTAATGTAATTGTTGTTGCCAGCATCCACTGTAGAATCCCCAAATACAACCAATGCTGGAACCACCTCTCTATCCAAAAGCTGGTCTTTCGATCCCTTCAAGTCGAGGTTGCGCGTCCCCAATACTCCCGTAGCTGCATTGCTCATCAAAAGCACAATGCAACAAGCTAGAAAACCAACTGAATTCGCCATCTCCTCCACCTTTGCTTCTGCAAAATCCAAGGGTGCAGCAGCACGGTACACTTCAGCCAGGTCTCGACAACACCCCCTCTCAGCTCAAACCGTGTACTTCCGACACCCAAGCGTGCGGATTGGTGTGATATCAGTCCCCGAAGTTCCTCTCCGGGAGGAGACTTCCAAGCTCGGGGACGATTGGCAACACCTTGACAACGGTGGTGACTGTTCTTGACTTGCCTGGATAGCGAGTCAGGGATGACCCTTGAAGTCGTACTACCCTCTGCATAAACTTGATCATCCACGGATCGCATGCCAGCGACGTGACCGATGCCAAACGCAGCCTGCCTTCTGTGTTAGGCAGTTGATAGCTGTCCTGACTCTGCAGGAAGCATCCTACATATAGTAGCACACCCTTGTCGCTCCCAGGCCAAATGGGTTCCGGCATATCCAAGTTTGAACCCAATTTTAATCAAGTTTTCACCAACAGTATTACTGGGAGCTGACCGGGGGCGTAAATGCTGTTGAATGGGCGATGACAACTCCAGACAGGAGTAGCTTCACCTCCTTCCCGACGATGCACCCCGCCGCGGTCTTCGACGCTAACTGCATCTCCGCAACATGATTGCCAGCCGCATGAACCCACTGTGTAAAAATAAAAATAAAAACAATAACAAAGGAAAAGTAGCGACTCCATTCCAGACTCCAGTGCATGCTAAATTCGCCACTCATGAAATTACATCTGTTGTGACAAAGTTTAAACCGTCAGACCGAAAAGGGAACAACTGCAGGTGCCAGCTGGAGGGTGCTTTTGTTTGATGATGTAGTTAGTGCTTGAGCTAGGCTGGTGTAGTGCGGTCCATTATCGTGTCGCAGCAAACATCTTGTGCATGGTTTGAATCGCATTCCTTAGATGTGGGTTTTTGGGCAATAATTCACTGGTGCGTATGGCAGTCTTGAGTGCAGTGGATTGCGTTCATGAATGTCACCTGACTAGCTCCACAGCAATGGCTGGCCTTATGAGCCCGGTGCAGTGCTAATTCCCATGACGTGCAACTGCTTCGCTTTGTTTTGACCGAGGTTGGTGGCCTTGTCCTGTGCATTACAGAAGCTAATTCTTATTGATTAATCACTTAAGACTCCTACTGCTTCTTTTGCAATGCAAGTGTCACAACGAAAGCATGAATCTGTGCCACTCTGCTACTGTCAACGCCCCTTCCGGTCATGGTGTGCAATCTCAAAACCCTCTAAGGCATCATTTTTCATGGCGAGAATCGTTTCCGAAGATGTACAGCCCCAGTGATGGTTTTTTTGAACACTGCATCTTTTGTCAAATTTGTCTGCACTTTCAGTGTGTGGCTACCCGGGAGTGGCCATGATTTGAATTAATTTTCCATGGAAACAAATTTGTATATATATATAGATATAGATATATATATATATATATTTTCCTGATAACTACTAAATTGGTAACCGTGAGGGTGATGGAGCAAGAGTAACACTAACTTCAGTAGGTATGTTGTGCTAGATAAAAACTGTCAACCTGCTTTCTATATTCATAATGATACACTGACAGCGAAGTTTCGCAATTGCGAATATGGACACCACAGCCATCCATCAGCGTTCTTCAGTTCTGACTTGGGTAATTTATTGTTCGGTTTGATGGTTCTATAATGCGTCAGCTTCCCTGAGTATGGGCTCTTCTGAAGGGAGTCTGAAAGAATCGATACTGAATCCACACGAATTAGAACCTTGAAACGTTTAAGTGCAGAAAAAAGTTTTAACGTTTCCCTGCATTCTAGAATTCCTGGCAGTGCAGGCATTTTGCAGGGGGAAAAGGAGTATTAGTGTGACAGTTAAAGAAATCATCAATATATTGCATTGATTACAACACGAACTTCTGCTTTAGGACAGAGACCATTTAGCCTTGCACATCCCAAATGAGGCGCACAACCTCCACCAGTGGTCACAAGGGATGGTGGATATTCTGCAAGTGTGTTTTACGCAACGGTTCATTACATTATCTTCACAATTCTTAGAAAAATGGTTTTGGATGTTCTTCGCTACGTCCTTTGTATCTTTCTAAGGGAATGATCATGTGTACAAGAAAACCCTGTAAAATGCGTGGTGTTACCTTCAAATCCATTCGTGTTTCCCTCTTCCCGTTGCCCTTCAAGCACATACCTGGACAACAACAAAAGAAAAAAAAAAACGTAACATAAACCCGCAGTTCAATCTCATCGCATCAGTCGCTTCTTCTTGTCACAAAATTCCCTTCAAACCTTGTTATCATGAATGAGGTACTTTATTCAGTCACCTTCTGATCATCTCGCGTACTATCTTCGATGATTAGTTCCTGATTTCCAATAATGAAGCCGCTTGAATTGGAAGCATGACCGAACAATGGAAGCTTCAATCCACAGAAATTGCAGAAGTTCAGTGTTGCCAGTAAGATAGATTAACAAGAGATGCTTGCGGATGCTCGACTTAATAAAAACAGGATTCTGGACAAGAACCCGGTGCCCGGCAGTGAATCTCGTTGCAGCTTGGCAGTGTCCACAAAACTTGTGAATAAAAGCCTTAAAATTAATCGTCTTAAAACAAAGCCCCAAAAAGACTGGAACGGGAACAGTTAACTTTATGTCAGTTGCGTTAACTGCACTGAGAATCCAGCAGATAAGGACCAACGTGGCAGTTTGCAGACGGCATGAATTTATAACCTTTACTTCAGAGTGATGCTTACAAAAGTGCCTGGGCTTCGGTCTAACTTACCAAAACCCGCACAGGTCACCATTGCATGATCCCCCGTGTCCATATAACTTGGCAAATCCTCACTGGCAGGGAAAGCTAGCACTGTGCCACTGGCTCATTCACTCACTGTAAGTGAGAGTTTTTAATGTTGGACTAGTACAGCGCTCAGATGGCAGGATCAATCACGCTCGCTTATCATTCATAGCAGGGCAAGTAGCTCTGACGCAGTCTGTTAAGATCTTCAGAAAAAAGCTAGTTTCCTATCCCTTTAGCCCAGCAACATGTTGATAAGAAGTTGATAGTGTTGTGTGGGTGGTTGTAGGGAGTTCACTAGGTGCCAATCCATTTTAGCACCATAAATGTGGGGAATAGAATAGTGCAGCTCTCTACCCTTGAAGAACAACCATCGTCCATACCCATCAATGAGAATTTTGAAAAAAAAGAAAAAAAGAGGAATTATTTTCCTAGAAAAGCAGAAAAAAACAGTTGTATGTGTCGTCCAAGAGTAGGATGTCTGTTGGATCTGAAGTGATGCTCTCTACCCTCTTATCTGGGACTTATATCCATGCTTCACACTCAATGCAGATAGGACAGAATCCTATTAATTGTTGATACAATAATTGAGTTTAAGTAAATGGGTAGTGCATGATTTCCTTGCTCTTCTGAATGCTCTAGGTTAACATGATTGTAACATAAACTTAGTTAAGAAATTGCCTAGAGAGAGTGAATGAGGAATGAGTAAAAAGCAACCTGGAAACTGATGGTACCATCAGCAATGCATTGGCAGTGCATTGCATGTTAGTGAAGAGCTTACAGCTCTCTCTCTCTCTCTCTCTCTCTCTCTCTGGGTATGAGAAGCTCCAAGTTGCCCACAGTCATGTTCATGGAGTGGAGCTCAGGATGATGCAGCCAAATCTCCATGAATTTATTTTAATTTAAAATTTTGCTATTTTTCTATTTTAAAAAATATTTTTATATATTTTTAAATGAAGAGATATAAATTAATAAAATTTATTAAAAAATAGAAAAAAATACTTATATTTTTGTTACAATAATATATTAATATATTGGTATTAAAATAAGAACCAAGTTTAGTACAATTTGATTCAAAAGCATTACTATAATTACAAGATGGTTGTGTATAATTTATAAACTTTGCTACATTTAAAAGTGTTGACTCCCCTCTTTCTGTGTGCTTTTTGAAAGGGCTTAAATTTTTCTTCTATTTATATTTTGGGTCTTTTGAATAGCGTTGTGGATCACAGTCCAAAATTGAACCCTTTTTTTTTTTTTTTTTTTTTTTTTTTACTTTTTTACTTTTTTTCCTTGCTTTCTTTGCCTTCTTCAGTTTTTAATTGAGGGATAGCTTAACATGGAGTTCTCGTGGCTCAGCTTTAGTTTTTGCAGGTCCGCTTGCAAGTCCATAAATTGCACTTGTTTGTTTGTTGGTTATTTTTTTTATTTTTAATTTTATTTTTCTCTCTCTACATATGATTCCAGTCTCCAATGACTGCCATCAGGGGTGGTGGCACATAATGATGCAGGGAACAACAAAAATATTTACACAAGAACAATAATAGAAGACCAAGTCAAATTCTGTTCTATTTTGACAACGATTGTCTTTATTTATTACTAGAGTACTAGGTACAATTATATTATATGATATACTTTTTATTTTTTAATTGTGATTATTGTAAGTTGTGTTGATTAACTTTATTTAACCATATTTTTATCTACCCAACCTCGTAAACTCAATGTTCATCTATTTAAGATCAGTAATTCTATTTTGTGGAAAACTGAGTTAAATAAAATTGAGTGAGTTTATATTTGGTGCTCGAATGTTGTATTTGTAATTAGTCTTATAATTTGTGTGAGATTGCAGGATTTGAATTTTAACCACATTGAATTTCATTTTAGAAGTTATATATAAATGTTTGCGTTTAGAATTAACTCAGGTTCAAATTTTTAAATCAGGATTAAAAACTATTTAGAATTAAGTTGACCTTAGATTTAGAATTTTGTGCTAGAAGCTAAAATACTTATTAGATTATAAAATTTTCATTAAATTTATAATTTAATAATAAAACAAGGCAAAAAATATTTCAATAAAAAAAAATTCTATATTCAAATTTCAATATATGTTGAACTATTTTTAAAGTTCAGGTTTGTAATTTTATGTAATCAAATCTTAAGAAATAAAAATTCACAACTAAAAATAATACATTTTTCTCATATGTTTAATTTACAATTACTAATGGATCTTTGTGTGGTTATTCTAGCTAGCCTAGTTAACAATACAATGTTTCTTTTATTGAAAATTTATATGTTTTTTTTTTATTTTTACAAGTAAAATATTTCTATTACTTCAACAATTTATAAGGATTTTATTTGAATGGTTACAACTTGTTTATCAATTTTTTTTTGAGTTTCTCATTTTTACTTTTCTTCAATACAACACAAATAGTGAAATTTAAAGAAAACAGGCTTTGTCTGTTTGGCTATTATATTTTTATTAGCATTTATTATTTTGAAAAACCTTAAAAAAAAAAAAAAAAAAAAAAAAAAAAAACCAAAGACATAAAAAATTAAATACATAAATTCAGTATGTGTATAATTAGAAATATTATTAAATATGTCATTGATGTAAACTTTGTAACAATATATTCTTGTATTGAAACATTATAAAATTATATATATATATATATATATATATGCTACATCCCCAAATAATATTGCTGTATCCCACTTGACCTCTTTGTAGACAACTAGCTCATAATATGTCTATTTTATTTGCACATTTTTATTTTCTTTGCTCCATAAAAGGGAGGTTGTTGAAAGGGAGAAAATGAATATTTTATGAAAAAATAGATTGCAAGTTCTTTTAAAATAAAAAAATATGTATATTTGTCTTCAAAATTATCTAATTTAAAATTTTACTTTTTTATTCAACTAAAAATTTTAAAAAATTATTTTTGGATTTATTTTATTTTTAGGTTGATATTGAGATTAACAATTTGGATGCCGAATATGCAGTAATAGGCTATATAGGGTGTAGCAATACAAATTTGAGATATAGTATTAATAATGTTTTATATACATCACTAATTTATTTTTAATAATAAAATTTAAAATGTTTTTTGATAGTATAGTAAATATTTTTTTTATAACTGAATAATAAATTCTTATTTATGTGTTTATAACTATTTTAAATTTATAATTATATTAATTTTTTAAAATATTTTAATTATAAATAAATAACTGTATTTAATATATAGTATTATCATAATTTATAACATTTATTAAATATATTTTTACGCCAATGATCTAATTTGTGTTGAATTTAAGATTTTTTAAAACTATACCAACTGTAAAAATACAAAAAATTTAAGATTCTTAATCAAGTTATATTTCTGAATTGAATGAACTACATGATTTTTAAATTATTAAATAAAATCTTTATCAAAACACGCATTAATCATAGTCTGTAAAAAAAATTGATATTTTAAAGTATACTAAATTTACTTCTTAGAAGGTAAGAAAAATAGCCACAGTAAAATATTTCATTATTATGTTAGAAAATATTTATTGCATTTGTATAAAGTATTTTAGGATATCATTTATCAAAGTATGAATTGAAATAAATCAACAAAATAATAATAATATATTAGAAAAATATTTTTTTCTATTATATTAAAACAGAACAAAAAGTGTTACTTTGAAGAATAGTCTATTTGAAAATAGATTTTTATAATATAAAAATATAAGAATCACTCAAAAATATATATTCTAAGCAAATTTATAAATCATAATATTATTTAGTCTCTTTTTTATACTTAATGTGTGTGTATATATATATATATATATATTTTACAAATTAAAAAATATAAAAAAAAAAAATGAATGTTATCACACAATTATTTCAAAAATAATGCAATCTATGTTATTGTGGTATCTAAAATCCAAACAATCTTAGTCTATCAATTTCAATCTATCATATATATATATATATATATATATATAAGACAATGTTAAAATGACTCACTGTTTTACTAAATTAACCCACATATTATAACTATCATTAAAAAAAAATGGATTATCTTCAAAAACCATTATTAGAATGATGGCCCTCACATGGACCTCCCTTGTTGCTAGTCTTCATTCTAATTCCCCTTGTTCTCAACACATGTCCTTCTTATTCCTAATCTTCATTTCAACCCCTTCTATTCTAGCCTCTACTCTCAATCTTCATCATGACCACATCTTTATATAAATAGTAAGAATATGTATATAGTACATTCAAAGACTATTACAACTTAATTTGCAAATTCTACAAGCTACGTGCAAAAGCAATCTTTGAGCACCAAAGCACCACGTATAGATCTGAATCAACCATTACTATCCAATCACTCATTCCAAGGAATGCAAATAAACAACAAGGCATAGATATCTTTCCTTATAAATCAAAATGCCTATTTTGGAGGACAAACCAATTCTAATCAAATCTCACAAATAGTAAATTCTCTGCAATAACTCACAATACATGAATAATTGCTTTTTAAATCACTATCAATCAACTTTATAGTATACAACTTATATTGTGATGGCTATATGTTCTAAAAACATAAGAAATGCAATCCTTGTAACTACCCTTCTATTTTGGTATGATTTTTTTAAGGAAAAATTTAAATAAATACATATATATATATATATATTAGAATCAACATGATGTTTAGTTTTTAATACATGTTATATATACAAGAATGAGGTTGGAATGAAGGTTGGAAATGGAGGGAGCAGAGGCTAGGAATGGAAAGGGAAGTTTGGATAATGCTTCTAATGGGATGAGGGCAATGATTCTAATGATGGTTTTTGGAAATAATTCATTTTTCTAATGATGGTTACAATAGGGTGGGTGGGTTGATTAAATAAAAGTGGATCATTTTAACATTTCCTTATGTTTATATAGATATATATATATATATATATATACAAAAATATGTATTCACACATTTGTTTGCACGCATACATGCGTATACACACTTCAGATCATTATTGTTTTAAAGCTTTGTAAGTTTATTCCATCCTATTTGATATTTTCATTTTGAATTACTTTGTGTAAGAAAACCAACACACAACTCTCATTCCATCAACACATTACAAGCATCCCAATTTTGAAGCATATCTACAGTCGTTTCACAACATAAAACCAAGACAGTGATAAATTCACGATGTTATCATGGTGATATGCAGTTACATCAAAGTCATGTCTGTGCATTCTGTTGTACAATCCTGCACAATTTGCCCTCATCGGTGTTGCTCATTCACAAGTGCTGGGAACTATTGGCGATGATAAGTTCGAAATTGGGACTTCAAATCTTGAGCTCCAGTTTTTCTTTCTTTTTTCTTTTTTTTCACCCTCAACGCCGAAGAATCTTGTCAATACGGCGATGCGATTGTCCTGATCGATGCATCCGCTCGTGTCGTCCAGGAAGAAGTGAATGAGTTCGATTCGCCGAGGTTTGAATCTTGACGAATGGCATACACACACACACATACACACAGCTTACGGCATCACCTAGTTGTCTGTTGAATCTCGTGCAGTTGGGTGACGCATCTGGACTGGTATCTTCTTCGATCCATCGGCACGGGCTGGGCACTAGAACTCATGTCGATGAGAGATCATGCGTACAAGACCTGGATTTCGTTGAACACACCGCAGTTGCGATTGCGTTCTCGCTCACTGCAGGTCTCTACACTGAGATCACCCACATGATGGACACCGGTGGTGTATGAAGATTTCTACCTGAACCCTGGATTGTGTGCGTTGCTGGCCATGAAGATGAGTGGCAGAGTGAACAGCCAGTGTGAACTTGCAAATTCATGGCAACTTGCTCCCAGCAGAGTGGAAGAGAAACCAGACCTGCCCCTCACACAGCCAACTCCTTCATCCGAGTTTTCGTTCGTTCATGTCCGTGGATCTCCTGCTAGCATGAATCTAGCGTGAATTCCACCTCAAGAATGTTGCTTGTGCCTTTTTCTCATGAGAAGTTTTTTTTCCGTCCAACGTTTTGGTTAATCAGCATAATCGGAATCTGGACACACACACACACATGGAAAGTCATAACCAAGTTGACCTACAAAGAAGCAGTTTTAGAAAGAAAAAAGATGTCTAATTTTGAGAAAACAGCAATATTTTGGAACCTTGCACGACATGCGAGTGAGAAATAATCACCATTGGGACATTCTCAAAATGAGCATTCCGGGTACATTTAAACTGCGCAGAACCAAAATTAAATCGGAACTTTGTTTGGCACAATAATCCAACCCGTTGTTCACATCGAGGAATCTATCTAGTGGACCCATTTTGTTGTTAGAATGACTTCCTCGTTATCAACTCATAATAAATAAACAAATCCGTAAACAAAAATAAGCTAAGGAAGAGTATGAATCGGAGACTAGTAGCACGTCTGGGCATGGAATCTGCGTGAGAATATGACAGGCTAGAGCAGGAGTAGAATGGAAGGAAAGAGAGGGGAGACGAAAAGGGGCCGAAGCCTGGTTTGAGATGCAAATGAGCATGATTCACAGGGGATTGTGCGACGAAAGTCACAGCCCCACCACACCAAAAGACCTGGCGTCCGGTAACCTCTATCCACTGCAACGCTGCTCCACACACATACAAAAAAACAACCTTTCCTCGCCCACCCCTTCTTCGCTTTTCTCCCTCCATGACCCACAAATCCACAAGGCGACAGACAGGTCCGAAGGAGGCTTCGTGCTCTAAATAGAAACTTCATCGCACCAAACGAAGACGATGAAAACAATAATCGCCCTTCATGTCGGCCGCCACGGACAAATTTGGGTCCGAGGAGTCGGCGACCAATGGACGCTAAATTTGAAGAGCTGGACATTTTATGTGTCCCTAAGTGGCGGGGTCCAGCTCAGCCGAGTACGATGGCCGGCTGGCGTGCTGCTCATTGAAGCGGACACCTGGTTCGACACGTCATCGCGGGTTTGCGGCATTCCTGATGGGTGACGGAGCCCTTTTCCCGGGCCCGCTGCATCAGCCGCGATTTAATCCACCCAGAACTTGGATCTTGTCGGGTTCCTCCTCACCGTGGGGGACCTGAAGCCGTTCCCTAACCTATCACCGCCTCATGCACATAACCATAGGGTGTAGGGTTAAGGATGGTGTCTTGTATGTGAATTTGGAATGGACATGAGGCTTTTTCTACCAATTTTTTAGATATTGGCTTTATTAGTGTAATATATTAATAGAATTTACTTTGTGTATTTTGTACTCATTGCATTAGGATTTGTATTACTATTACTATCAACTTCACCACATATTTGTCACGTCTTTAAATGACATTGTAATTAAATTATCCTTTTTACCATTCTTTTTCTTTTTGTTTTTGGAATTAGAAATGTTTCACAATGGAATTGCATTTGATTGATATTTTAGAATTTTAATTAAATTGAGATTTTTATATTACGTCATATATATTTAAAAAATATTTTTTTCCGTACACTATGTTTTTTTATCAAAAATTATTTTGGAATAAATCTTGAATCTATGCAGTGTGTGAATACTCATAAGAATCTTATGCCCATACTAATGATTACTCATAAGAACGTTTATATTGTTCTAATGTGCTAAGAATATTATTATATACCTGTAATAATACATAGAATTTATAAGACAAATTCTTGGTTGGAAAAATTCTTTATTTTATAACGATTAAATTTTAAAATAATCCATACTGTTCACCTATGCACACAAATACTTTTGCATATTAAAATTTAAATTGTAGAGATGAGATTTGGCACAAACATCTTGTGGAGTTCAACAGTTTCACAATGTGGCCTACTAATGCATGAGCATGTACTTTCCTACACTACATGTCCATTTCTAAAATGCACAGTCTTAAAATAAATGATTCAAGTTTCAAGCTTCAAGTGCCTTGGGATTGGGACATAGGTTTTCTAAGTTGCTTCAAACAATTTTTAATTTTAAAATTGCTTGAAGTATGGTGCATTTTATGGAAATATATATATATATATATATATATATATATGAATAGTAAAAGATAAATATTGAAATTATGATTTAGACTCACCATGGTTTTTTTACACAAGCACAAAAAGTATTTGGAAAAAGAAGAAGTACTATATATATATATATATATATATACATACATACATAGATACACACAAAGTGCCAATCTTTAGCAATGTACAAGATCAAAGTTTTGGTTTTCAAACAAGAAATAGTTACAAATGATAATAATGGAGAGAATACAAATTTGGTAATAGTTTAGTTGATTAAACGAAAGGGCAACAGGAATGCTCCAACCACAAAGATCATTCATCATCAAAAGTGTATGAGCCGGCATTCGAAGCCAAGTTAGTCAAGCAAACCCGCTTTCTCACAACAATGAATGGTCCCCATTTCATCCATTTTGTGCCAAACTTTTATTTCGGAGGACGTGCCTTTTGCTTTTCAGGAAAAGGCATCCAGTGTATTCGGAGTCGGGGCCTAAGCCCGGCGAGAGGAGGCCTAAGACCGAGGTTGTCGCTGCTATCTCTCTCACACCTGGCCTAACAAGCACCCTATTCTATTCTGTCCCTTCTATCTATTCTATTGCTCTATAAATAGATATATCTATGTGTCTATCTGAGCATCGTCATGGAAAAGCACTTGGACGTGCCAACGCTCGATTCCCCACAAAAACATTGTTGCTGGGTCATGGCGATGTCCATCGAAAACGACAAAAATAGAAAAAGAAAAGAAGAAGCAAATGAACACAGAGAACAAGACAGAAGGAGAACCCACAACACAACAGAGAACGCATTCATTCAAAATGGGAGAATGAAAGCGTCTAGGAGGGAGAAAAGAAGGAAGGGAAGAGAGGGAGAAAGACAAAAAGACGGAGAGAAACAAGAGAGCACAGAAAGACGGAGACGATGCAGCCGCCAAGTGTTGAAGGGGTGGCATCGCCTTTCCCATGCAAAGCGGCGAAAAGGAGTCTCACGAATTGCATTTGGATTCCTCCCAAAAGCACCCCTCTAATTGCGAATTGACTTTCCCAAAGTCGCTACGAGACGGAACGGGGAGGAGGAAGAGGAGAGGCATTGCAAGTGCTCGAGGTTGGAGCAAGAGAGAGAGGACCGAGCTCAGCGCCAGACGCAACAAGGAATCAAACGCAGCAGGAAGAGGAGGGGCGGGACTACGACTCTTCCACACCGGGCCCGCGGCGGGGTTGCGACGGCGCCCGGGCGGGCGGGTAGGAACAGCAGCACCCCCACCCCCGCGCGATGTATCTATGATGTATCCATGTACGACGACGAGCCCACTGGAATCTTAGGTTCACGTAGGTCCGGCGCGGTCTGGCAGGTTGAGGCAAGTCGAGGACGGGGCGAGAAAGCGAGCGAGCCAGAGAGAGAGATGAGTGCAAGACGTTTTTTCCTGAGCGAGGACGCCATCGAGTGAAGTCCCCTTCCCCCGCAGGGCATGGCTGCTGCCGCCACTCCCTTCACCAATTCCGCCTTCCTTCCCCTTTACGCTCTCCTGACTCTCATGTCCATGCGAAATCCCGCAAGCACTCTCTGTTTGGACGTGGTGGAGGTGGGTTCCTGGTTTACCCTGGTGGTCATTGAGCTCTGTAATTCTGGTTGCTTTTGATGGCGGAGTGTGAGAGATGCGGAGTGTGGTGTTGTGTTGTGTTGTGTTACAGGATGGTGTTGTCCGAGTGGTTCATCCTTAATTGGTGCTTTTGAGTGGGTCAATCCTCTACTTGCGGGTTGGGTTAGATGATCGGAATTCTGTGTTGACCTGAATTGGTTGTGTTGAATTGGGTGCTGTAGGCAGTATGATGGCCACCGGAATCTCTTTTTTCATTGTTAGAATCGTCTGCAGATAATCCTGTCGCACTCCTGACCTTGTTCTTGGGAAATTCGTCCATGCACGGCGTAATTGAAGATGGGATTCGTATGAGAATCTTAGCAGAATTCTGTTGTTCACTTCGAGTTAGGTGTCTGAATTTGTGAAGCGGGGTCGGAGTGTGCAGATGAAAACAGATCGGGGGCAAGGAGCAGACCAGCTGTAGAAGTAATCAGGCGGCAAAAATCATGGGGGGTGCGTGTTCTCGCAGGAGGGACCATCAAACTGTAGAAGCAGATGATAGAAGCGGAAGCAGCCGCAGTGGAAGATTGAGTCGTAGTGTTAGCTTGCGATGGCCTGTTAAACCTCCGAAAGCTCTTGAAACTCTTGCGTCCACTCCCCATGAGTGCAAGACTGCGCCCACTCTGCTCGATATCTGTGTCCGAGAGATTGTCAAGGTGCGGTATCTGCACTGTTGCCCTCTTTCCACAACAGTATGTTTGCCATGGTGGTGGAGAAATTTAGGGTTTAACCTTTCATTTACCCTGGTTTTCAGTCGTTTTCCGAGGCTTTTAAAATAATTCACAACAAAATAAAAATATGTTTTAAGTTAATTCAATTAATTTGTATATTTATTTTGAATGAAATCTCCAATTTGAACATCAGAGGAATTTTGCCAATTGATGAGACTGGACAATTATTTTTTGGAGTAACTTATCGGTAGAGTCAAATTGAAAGAATCCGAATCATGCATTGCCATGTCTTTTGTGTTCAGAATTGAATATTTTGACTCAAAGTTGTGAATGAGATTCTCTGCAGAATATTGGAAAGCATAAAAGCTTAGCCAGAGTACCACGTGACTTGATACAGCTAGTGTTGGATGAACTCGTGAGGAGGCAGCTTCTCTCTCCCACGACGCTTGAGCTCTTCTCAGACTGTTCACTGCAGGTGTAATTTCTATTCACTCCGATCCGTTCAAGAGAATATTTGTAGAGGCCTCCCGAGGATCTGCAGCGGCTTCATTAGGACATTTAAGTCACTAGACTCATAAATTGTAACCAGGTTTTGAGAGATTGAGAATTGTGAGTGAAATGAGGGTTGATTGAGGCAACGTTAACTCTTGTAATATCCGTGGAAATGGAGACTGTTGCAGTGGAGATAAAAATGAAAATTGTAAATTATCATTATTTCGCCTTAATTGATCGCTAGTTAGCTACCACCTCTATCATTCTTTCTGAAACACGGGTGGATTTTGCAGGATGTTCTACTCCCAGATTACCCTGGGGTGGAGGATTCTTGGTTGCAGGTCATAGGATCTCAGGGCGAGTCACTTCTGGCACTTGACATCTCCAGCTCAACAGTTACGGATGAAGGGCTCTCTTTTCTTGAATCGTGTACTAACCTACAGTCATTAATCTTGAATGCGTGTGAATCCATCGCTGACGAGGGTCTCACTTCATTGTCAGGTATTTCTCGCACTACTCAACTTGATCATTGAGAAAAATTAACAGGAATTGGTCACTGTAAACGCCACCGAGTTGATTAATATTTGATTTTGAAGCAAAGTTTACCTCTCCTGACCTTGAAACTTTGTTTTTTCTCCAGGATTATCAAATCTCACAACACTAAGTCTCCGCAGCAATAACATGATTACTGCAGCTGGAATGCAAAACTTCACCCATCTGGTCAGCCTCAAGAACCTCGATCTGCAGCGTTGTCCAAGTATTCAGGGTGGCTTCGTGTACCTGAAAGGTGAGGTCCTGCCAAATGTCTAGTTGCACAGATTCCTTTAAGAAGGATGGTTCATGCTATGAGAAGACTTGCGCTCTGATTATTTCGCTTAAATTTTATAACATCGCCTCAAGGTTGTTTTGGAGCTGTTTCCTGGCGCTCAAGAATATAAGAAGCCAGACTTGTTCTTGAATATAAGAAGTGCATTTTGGTCGTTAGAAGTGACACTAACGTCCTTTTGTCACCATTTTCAGGTCTCACTACCTTGGAGAAGTTGAACGTGGGATGGTGCATTGGTGTGCGTAACTCAGATATCAAGCATCTCTCTGGTACGAACTTTTTGAGCATTTTCTGGTGCCAATTCGCTACTGTAAAAAATGTCATGATGTCAGTCTTGGGGGTTATGTCAGAGTGCTGAGACTTTTCTTCACTGATAAATGCCAGGGCTTGTGAATTTAAAGGAGCTCCAAATCTCCAGAAGTAAAGTAAGCGATTCTGGTCTTGCATCCTTGACTGGTGAGTGTTTCTGCTCATTTTTACTGTTCATTTTCCATAAGCCTTTTAGGGGTTTGCAAAGGTCTTTTGGGCTTACTGCTACCCAGTTCTTGATAGTTTAGTTTGTCATGCATTTTCAGAATTGTTTTTCATATATTTGCTTAGATGATATCTTGGTTTTGTTCGACATGTCGATCACTGAACGGCTTTGAAGTTGCACAGTCATGACACTCTCTGTTGTACAGCCTGAGGATGTAACTTGATGAATGTCATTTTTTGATTGGTAGGACTGACAAAGCTTCGGAGCCTTAGTATGGAAGGCTGTCAGGCTGTTACTTCTAAAGGCATGGAAAGCATTGGAGGTACGTCTGTACTTGGCACTCTTGATAACTGCGCATTTTCATGTTGAACTTTACAACATGAATCGCATGGTTTGTTCAACATTGTGGCCATTTGCACAGGTCTGACTGGGGTGTGGCATTTGAACGTCAACTCTTGTTTCTTACACGACTCTGGTTTTCAGAAGCTGGAAGGTTAGTCCATGGTTTCTTATCTCCTATTGCGTCACGCAAAGTGTGGACGGCTAGAAATTTATAGGTTGAAATAGTGCGCTTAGAAGGTGGTTTGCAAAATTTTGTGATGGACGTGGTATGCAGCACTAACGTTTTTTTCCGTGGTTTGATTGTGCTCTCTGTAACGCAGGTCTCATTAACCTCCGCACCCTAAACATGGGTTATAACAATGTCTCGAATTCCGGCATGGGCTTTCTGAAAGGTTGTTGCCATGATTCATCAGCTTCTTCCTTTTTAGTGAAAATTGCAACGGGCTATTAACAGTAGCCACTAAATCATTCGGAAAACCCTTCAATTTACGAATGTCGCTGTTCCTGATGGGGTCTGTGTGGATGCTTGAATGTACATGCACTACCGAATTTAAGGTTGTGTTAGATAATGACATGTAGCTCGTGGTTTTGCAAATATAATTTCTGGATCCAATTTGAGAGCACAGCCTAAGATATAAAGGAAATTGTGAACGCTTTTACGTAGCGAGTTCGTGAACAATGCAGGGTTGACCAACTTGGAGCGGTTAAATCTTGACTCGTGCAAAATCGGTGACCACGGGATTGAAAATGTCAAAGGTAATAATAGTGATCACATCTTCAGCAGTGTGCGTTTACTCTGGATCTATAGTGGTGATTTCTTTCCAGTATAATGTTGAGTATTTAGCCTTTCCAGAACCATTTGCTCGACTGTGAAAGCTGTGAACACTCTGGAATATTTTCCTTCCATGAGGTGAATGGTGCGTATAATCATTGGGTCACATTCAAAGTACACGAGAAGTCTCACAGTAATAAAATCAAAAGGATGTTGACTGTGCCGTGAATCATTGATTACAGGTCTTGTGAACTTAAAAATGCTTGATCTTTCAGACACGGAGATTGAGAGTGCCGGTTTGCGCTTTCTCACAGGTTAATCTTTGAGCTAAACTGATACTAACAAATCCTTTTGAAGCCTGATTTGTTGCACTTGGATTTGAACTCAACATCAGTTTAAGAAGCTTATGATTTTATATTTTGTAAGACTTTAATTGAGACTTTGGATACACTATCGGCCTCAAGTCTCTCTCTCTCTCTCCATTTTTTTTTTTTTTTTTTTTTTTTTTTTGTTAAAATTAATTTTCTTCCGTAGTATTTATCAGTGTTTCAGTTTCCAGATGCAATTTTAAAATATTGGAGCCTTCAGTCGTAGGTCTGGGTGTTGATAAATCTTTGCGGTGGATGCCAGGCTTGAAGAACTTGGAGAGCTTGAACCTTTCCTTTACAGGAGGGATTGCGGACAGTGGTCTGCGCACAATTGCAACCATAACGTCACTGACGTCTCTGAATCTCGACTCGAAACAGATCACTGATACAGGCCTCGCTGCACTGACAGGTAAGAGTGATGAAACTCATAAGAACGCCGTGTTGGAAGTTTCTTTCCTTCTTGTTTATTTATGTTCAGGCACCGGGAGCTGCATGTACTTACAGTCGTGCAACTGATTCTGTAGGTTTGACGGGTCTTAAAACTCTGGATCTATTTGGTGCAAGGATCACCGATTATGGCATGGCTTGCCTTCGACGTAAGGCCACTTCTCTGATCTTGTTTTTTTAATGTTTTAACTGCGTTGAAAACGTTACATATGTTTTTCTCTCATATTTCAACTTATTCATATTACATGTCTTCACTATAACTGATTTACAATGCTCTTATTCGTATTAATTTTTGATATGGGCACTAGCGGTCTCTGCTTTGCAGCTGTTAATTGTCACATTCTGTGATGCGATTTCTGTCTACAGCTGACCCAGGGGCTTTTATGTTATAGATTTTAAGAAACTGCAAACTCTGGAGCTTTGTGGCGGTGGTATCACAGATGCAGGGGTGAGGAGTATCAAGGACCTGACATCACTTACCTCTCTCAACCTGTCACAGAACATGCGCCTTACAGACAATTCGCTGCAATATCTCTCTGGTTAGAGGCTTGTGCTATTTTTCTCTCACTCGAAACCTTTTACACTTAAATGGTAGTGATTAATGGAACTTGTATATCTCATATGAGAATTAATTGAAAAAAAATTGCGATTTAATTTGGAAGTCAAGCCGTATTGTTCGTCACCTGACATTGTGATGTGGTTGGTGATGCAGGGATGAAAAATCTTGTATCCTTGAACTTGGCGAATTCCAGAGTGACAAACGCTGGCCTTCAGCATCTAAGACCATTGACGAACTTGACTTCCTTGGCATTGCAAGACTGCAAAGTGACCCTTCCAGCAGTGGAACGCCTGCAGGCCACCTACCTGCCCAGTCTCACCGTCATCCGCCTTCCTTAGCGGCATTTGTATAAAAAGAATGTGGATGTTATGTACAGAACTTAACTCGTGCTGGCTGTGCCTGCTACTGTGGCCACATCGAGTGGACAAATATCCCCACTTCAATTCGGAGGGAGAGAGACTCTGCATAGCTGCGTCCATCCCTCCTGCGCTAATTCTTGGACTCGGCAGCGGCCCTCATCAGTACTGGGCTCATGAACCTTGTGTTTTAATTGCACAGCAGTCTGCGTGGCAGTGTTTCCATTTGTACAAATTATACATTACACTGATGCCATTTGCAGATCAACACAGGGATTGTGGAATGCTCTTTCCCAGGTAGCAGAACGTTCGTGCTCTAAATACTCGTTACTGTTTGGTGTTGCAATAATGTGGGGTATCGATGTACTAAGTTTCTTTACATCACATCCTTGAATCCGTTTCTTAAAGTTTTGATGCGTATTTTGTGTGGAGCCTCTTTTCTGTTGGAATTATCTCAGGGCTAATAGACTCGATGCTCTTTGCGCCAGAGGAATTGAGATACTGAGATAGAATGATATCTGAAGCACACTTGTATTTCACTGGGTTCTGATGATCAATCACTTTTTAAAATAGCTCTGCTTGTGAAGATGCGTTGAAGGTTGATTTCGTAACGATGGTGCAATATCACCAATTTTTGTTTACTTTACTTTGCCACGTTACATGTGAAATGGCGTCTCTTCTAAAAAAAATTATTCATTCACGAGCTATTGGAAATATTTTAAATATATAAATTAAACGAAAGATATTTTTTGTCAATAATATATAGCAAACATATGTAAAACCATGTTGATAGTGTATAAGGGTCAAACACCTCATATCAAAATGATTGAAAGATTATGTGTTTCAAATAGATTTTTTTATGATATAAGTTGGTTAAAACAAAGTCCATAAAATTACTAGCTGAAAATGCTTGTAAACATTTAAATCAAGAATGGCTCAATTTGGATTATAAAACACTTAAGAACCATTTAGATAAAATCAAAATGTAAGATCTGTTGAGTTTAGAATAGTTCTTATACAAGACACATGTTTGTGTATTTTCAACACAAATAAATGATTACAATGTTTTATTTTCATTTTCTTTTTTGTTTATTTGTTTGATCGCTAAACATACACCTTCTCTTTTTTATTTTTTGTTTTGAAATTCTTACAATAAGCAAGATCAAATTCTTTCGACTATTTTTACTGTTTATTGAAGGTGTTATGAAAGCTTTGTTTTTATCACACCTATTTTTTAGAAATCATCCTGAGTTGAAGTTCTAAATATTTAGTTTGCCTGCTAATTGTAGTATTAATTGTAGAAGTTAAAAGATTATGAGATAGCACTAAAGAATATATAGATTAGAAGTATGTAGTTTCAAAATTAGGAAAAAAAATAAAGTGAACTGTATATTGGTATTTGATTAGTTTAATTTTCTCTTTTGTTGTTGATGTTTTTATTTATTTATTTATCATTTTTTTACAATGTGTTCTAATTATGTCTACATAATTCTTCACATTATAGTAAAATGTTGCTTATATAATAGTTTTGAAAGATTTCAGTTATTTTTTCTACATATATATATATATATATATATATATATCATATTTAGATTGTTAATAATTGGGTTCTTTTTTACATGTTGCAGCCGCAAATCTGTATAATTTAATCTTTTGTTTTCATTCTAGATGACTTAGTTTGTTAAAATATTTATTGATTGGATTTAAGTTTTTCTTTAGATCCTAATAATGAAGATTCTCATCTAAATTGTTTCTTGTAGTACTTTTGGCTAATGCATAAGTCTTTTTAACAACCCAATGAATTATTTGATCATGTATTTAGTACTTGAATAAACATATCAACAATTTATTGATGTGTTTTAGTATCAAGTAGAAGAAAATTATTTTTGCTAGTCTATTTCTTGTTTTTGAATACTTTTGTGGTGCAATTGTGCAATTCGAGTTTTTCACTATAAGTTAAAATATATTCTTTTACCACATAAAGAGATTAAATATATGTATATATATATATATATATATATATATATATAATAGAGTAGTCTTGAGTTGATCAATTTAAATTCTTCTTTAAATAATTTTCAATAATAAAAATTCTATAGTCAATAAGTTGTTGTTTTAGAATGATAAAATTATAACATTGGTAGTATTAAAATATAGAAAAAATTATTATTAACTTCTACATATAATTGTGATTTTTCAATAATGAATGAATAACATTTCTTGGGCTAAAATTGTGGAGTCCTTTTTTCAAATCATATGATGGCTTTTGAAACCTACAAATCTTTAATATATCTCAACTATTCTCAATTTGATTTTTGGTATCTCTATGTACATAGTATCTTTAGTGGCTTTATTAGAAATATCATCTTTTTATACTAGAAAAGAATAGTTATTAATCTTTATTTAAATAAAGAGCCATAAAGATTTAAACAACTTATTTGCATAGAAATATTTTGATTTTGATTTTTGAATTTGGATCTTAACTATTACTTAGCCATTAGGAAGAAATTACATACATTTAAATTGGATTCTATTTATATTTCTCTTTTACTTTTCTTATTTAATAGTTTTTTATTATAGTTATTATAAGTCAACATATTTAAATGGTTTTAGAATATTTTTGTCTTTGAATGATTTTAATAAAATCTTATTTTTTTAACTATATTTTATACTTGAATATATATATATATATATATATATATATATATATATTTTCAAGTTAAAATAAGTACGTATATATATATATACATATATAAGTTAAAATTTGTATACATATGTATATATATAGATATAAATGGATATACATACATACATACATCTATACATCCATACATATGTACAATTGTTTTAAAAAATCATAAAATCTTTGAATCATATACATGAATGCTTAAAATTCATTATCATTGTTATGATTATTTGATTTTGATGATTGATTTTAATTGATTGTCAAAACTGTAGTTTGGAAGTGTGGTTATTATTTGCAAGTATCGAATTGGCATTGATTAAGATAAAAATTGTGATTTATAAGTAATCATGTTATTGTATTTATGGTATATTTAGAGTAATAATTTATATTAAAAAATCGATATTTTATTGTCAAATGAAATTATTTTTAAACTTTCTATTTTGGAAAGTGATGAGATAGATAAAGATAAACCTCAATAGGATAAAGTTTTATTAATAGATGAGCATTGCAGAAGATTAAGGATATTTTTATTGTATCTAATATTTCTTATATTTACAACTTGATTGTTATTAGATAGCCATATTTGGTGTGGTTTTAATATATATATAAATTTTTATTAAAAATTACAATTGATTTGAAATCCTATCTTGGATCTTATTGCTAAATTAAAACATAAGCCTTGGATCCAAATATATATATATATATATATATATATATATATGCTAGATTTAGTTTTTGAAAGAGGTTTTTCTTCAAAGTATTTTCTTTAAAAATTGGTTAAATATAGTCTTACAAACCTGCATCTTTGTTCTTCAATACTCTTATTATATTTGCCTTGGTGGTAATTGCTTTTGTATATTAAAAGAGCCTGTGGTTGAAGCATTTTATACTATTAATTGAATTTGATGTGCATAAATTTGTTATTTTTTATTACTCTTTAAGAATATATAAGCCTGATAAATTTTGTACAATATAAGTCGGTCTCTTTAGTTGATTTCTAACTATGAAATAGAGCCAACCGTGAAAATCCAAATTTACATCATACTTTTAGGGCCAGTAAATCCCAGGATTCCAAATTTGATGGGTAGATTGAAGCTTCCCCACCAATCAATCAAACTGCAAACACGAGACATCACGTTACAACGAATAGGAAATCACTTCCTTGTCTCATAACGACAGAGAAGCGTCTGAGAAGAAAACAGTTTGTGGAAAAACAAAAAGGCAGAAAGAATAGGTAGAGATACACAACAAAAGCAAAGGTGACATAAACCTGAGCCAGAGAAACACTCTGACTGCTACTGCAAGTTCCATCCTTAATCTGACATTCAGTATTCTGCAGCTTGCGCACATTCCAATGCTATTTAAATTCTATGTCAATTGTGACTTCAAAGTCAATCACAACCAGGGCCTCTGTGCAGCTATTTGGACTTTGTGTTCCACAGTCTCGTTGATTGTGGGGCCTTACCAACAACTCCTGGATTCATTTTAAAGAGCAATTAGCTTGCGAAGCTGCAAAGTGAGTCCTCGGAAAGGAGATAACAGTAGCATAGCCAACCTGAACTTGTGCATTAAAGCGCACATCAATTGCAGGTAATTCTGGAAACTACAAGCTAAGGAAGGATTGCTCGACTGAAATGCTTAATTGTAGACCATTTACTCAACATTCACAATATAGTACACAAACACAGTCTGAGGTTAAGGTCCTCAAGCTTTCTTTTCTTCATGCCCATATTGGTAATGTGGGAGGAGTAGGGGAGAAAAAAACAGTAGTAGACATCCTTATTTTGTGAAGGAATATCGTACTTCGAAAGGTAACCCAATTTTTGCATTCACCCATTTGCAGAAACATCCGAAATTTTAGTTCAGCTTGAAACTAAAACGCACATACAACGTTGGACTTGATGTCACCAGCCTCGTTTTATTTGGTAACTATCACCTTCGTAATTAATCAATCTAGTCCAGATCTTAATGTCTTCACACACGAGCCTAACTGAGCACACAGGTATCACGATTCTCACTCGGTTTCAGAAATCGAAGTCACAAGTTCGATTGCACAATTGGACTGCAACGCTGTGAACTAATCTCACTGTTAAATTCGACACCGCGGAGCTAGATCAGTTAATTCTGCTGCAAATCTTGCGGATCTCTCCTTTGGTTCCTTCCAACACCTTGACGTTGCCGAGCTTGATGATCGCGGCCACAAAATCTTTGGTGAAAGGGGACGTAGGCCCTGCCAGGGTTCTGGTTCTTTGGGAAGTGGCCCTGTCGGTGGCCAGCCGTTGGTCAAGCTGAAGGATGCCCTTCTTAGCAAGCAACTGGCTATAGAACACCTTGTCGACGATGTTGGGCGTGCCCTGGTCCAAGTTCACTGGTCTTCCCAGTCCAACACCCCGTTGCGGGCACACTGACTTGAGCTGCTTCACAAGGTTGGCGTCCATGGATGGATCGGCACGGCCAGTTCCCTGGAAGTTCCACAGCCGATCGTCAAAGAAGCTGCAGTGTGTGATGCCCACAGTGTGAGCTCCTGCAACCAAAAACCACCACGGCAATCATATCAGTGGCCGATGGTGGGCACAAACTTTTCTAAAATTTTCGTTAACTTAGTCCAGTTCTTGCTCAATTCAGCTCGATGCAGCTGGTGGGAGCATTACTGGTGGCTTACCGAGAAGGGTAACCATGTCGTTCTGGGTCATGCCTTGGGCAGTGAAAGCCCTGGTCGCGTCGGCCACGCTCAGTGAAGGGCCTGGCAAGTTCACATTGGAAGCTTTGGAGACGCGCCCGTCTCGACGACCGGTCGGCATTGCGAATTTCGGCCCTCCAGACTGCAATAAATCACAATGTTTTTTTTCAGAATCTGTCTCAGAAGATAAATTCACACAGAGGCTTCCTTAAATATCAATGTGCCATGAGGTTGCCAAATTCACAGGATTCGCCATAACGTTTGATGAATGTAGGGCTTGAAATGACTCTGTGGAGGGTAATGACGGTGGTGTGGGAAAGTTACAACGATACATACCAGAGCAATGACGTCTCGGGTAGCCAATGCGATGATATCCGCACAAGACACCTTCCCAGGGCAGGCCTTCTCCACCGCTGCTTTCGCGGCGTCAATGAGGTCGTAGCCGCGAACAGTTAAGTTGGCCCCTGCATCTTTCTCTGCTGAATTTTTGGGTGTGCTGTTTATTAACAACGAAGCATCACATCCCTGCCGATGTGGACATCGCAATTCAAATGAACAGAAGCTTAGTCGTGGGGCAAGCCAGCTTCTCATGAACAACCACACCTTGTAACTCACAGTTAAAAAAACATCACCTTATCATGTACTCGAAAATTTCACACTCGACACACCGGAAAGATAACTAGAATTCCAACAGGTTCGGGCATGTACCACGACAAAGCAGTCGTGGAAGAAGAGGCGCAGCAGAGCAGGTGTGATGGTCTTGTCTCTTCTGAACCTGTTCTGCACGGTCTGCGTGACGATGGTTTCCGCATTGGGGCAGGTGTTCGTGTAGAACCCCACCCTCAATCCTTGCGTGCCATGGAACACGCACATCAAACTCACCAGCAGCAGCAGTAAATGGAAAGCTCCTCCTCGTCCTCGTTGCGCTGCCATTAGTCTCACCCCAATTCCTTCGACACTCCAATCTCGAACTTGACACAATGCTTTGATCCCTCGGACTGATCTACACAAATCCAGAATTCAATGCCCACTTCAAGCTCCAGCACACTTCATAAATGAGTTCAACCACTGTAGCGAGCAGCTGGAGAGGCATTTATCAGCTCACCTAGTTTAGACCTGGGTGAGCGACAATGCAGCCAGCTCTGCGAATACCCACCCACCGCAAAACTCGCACTCACCAAGCAGCCAATCCACTTAAAAACTTCAGGTCACAGATGCCGTCGTTTCCGACCCTCATCAACCGGCCTCTCGTCGAACGCAGGCAAACTCTGAGCGAAAGATATGCAAATCACAACGCCGGTAGACTGCAATGATTCCACGATGAGTCCAGGGCGGTGCTTTTATAGACCCCAGCTGGTGAAGAAGCAGGATAACAACTGATCGATTGACTTTGTGTTCCCGACTTCGAGTGGCATCAGCTTGCGTGACTTTTCCAGCCGATCTCTGATCCTCCTCGTTTGGTACCCGCGTCCCAGTGTGGATTCGCGATGTCCTGACTTGGACGCAACCTCCCTCCCTTCCTCCCTCTCTCCTTCTCCCTGTCAACTAGTGCTGGATTCTTCCTCAATGATGCTGCTGCTACCCAACTCAGCGTAGCAGCATCTCAAAGCTGCAGAGAGTGATTTCGGAGCAGGATTAAAACAGAAGAAGGGTAAAAACTGGCGGAGTGGACTTCCGAGGTGGAGGAGATGGAGGATCAAAGCCACTCCTCCCTCCTCGTCATTGAGATCTCGCTGTGTCTGGCACTGCGGCGCTTCCTTGCTCGGAACATATGTTAACGTATATATATATATATATATATATATATTTATGTGTGTGTTTATGTATAAATATTATTGGTTAGGGAAAGTAGAAGTGGATTCCGTTGCCAATGTGAGAAGTGATTTGCTCTGGTTTTACAGTCAACTTGATGGTGTTTGGCATATAGATTAGTAATTAGTTGAGCAGAGGATTAGAGCACTAACTTGGATTGAACAGTGTATTGAAGTGTGTTAAGATGCTAAAACGGTTACCTCAAGAGGTCTCAGGAGCCTCAAAATATATGTGTATGCATATCACTTAAGAAAGGTGTTGATATATCATATCATGTGATATTAAGTGTTTTGTCAGATTATGTGTTGGTAAAATGCTGTCATTGTTGTAAAAATAGAATTAACCTAAACTTAACATCATTTATTTTGTCAAGAAATTAGACCAAGACTGATAAATGTTCATTGATGAGTTTTATTGTATCTACCAATATACCGTAATAAATAAATGGATGAATAACACATATGTATATATATATATATATATATATATATATTATTTTATATTTATAATACATTTTTTTAAAAAAAGTTACATTTAATTCATTCTAATATACATTTAATGTTTCTTATGTGCATTTTGAAATCTTATGGTATACTTTTGATAAGGATTTTCTCAGCATTTTATAGTACCAAAGTTTGATATTTTTATTTTAAAGTTAAAATTTATACAGTAATTCATTATTATTTTATTTTATACATTATTTTTTTGTATAAGGATCAATACTTATTTTTAAAGTATTTTTAAAATTTTGAATAACATATTATGTAAATGTTCACATCCTCAATTCCTCATGGTGCATAGAGCAATTGAAGTTTAATATTAAATCTAGCTTAGTCAAAAAATATTTTAAACTTAGATCTTATTAAATCAAATTGTTGTATAAAACTTATTACACTCCAACCAACGAATGAAAAACGGGAAAATGGATGAACGGAGCCCAAGGAGTCAACCGCTTTGCTGAAGAACCACAGTTGCTATGCAACACACTTGCAAGCTCGCAAAGCTCCATTGCCATGGCCGCATTAGTGCGCTGGAAACAGCCCCGCATGGCTGCTTTATCACAGCGGACCAGTGAGTCCATATTGTCAACGAGCAAGTGTTGGACTTTGATCAGAGTGGAGGACAAAGCATAACAATCAAAAAGAATAAATTATATAAGCGATGAGAAGGTCTCGCTTATCCCGAGGCTTGCTATTAAAGGGATGCTTATACCCAGTTGCCGAATGTGGGCATTTGGTTGACTTTGATGTGGGGCATGGCGTGGACTGATGAGCTTCAGCACAACTGGTGGACTTATTTGTCAACTGTTGCTGACTCAGAGCTTGTGGGTCCCTTCTCAAAGATCTGCGTTTGGACCATGAAGTTGTCAACCCAGGCTTTTCAGCTCAAGTTCAAGTGTGTTTCATGACAGCCTCCTGTGTTGAGCTGAATGGTCTTCGGCGGAGTAGATTTTATATCAGGGATTGTCTTGTATGGGGTATAATCTCTCACCTGAACCGGATCTATTGTAGATTTGACCAACTAGGATTTGACCGTGTGTGGGATTCAGGTTTGCTAAGTTTTCGAGGAAATGACTTGTGAGGCTATCTCGGCGAAACGGCTTCACATCTGCCGCATCTGGGGACAAAAAACCTCCTGGAGAGCATGGGTGTGGACATTGTCAATTCACACAAAATGCGCACAATGCGCATTGGACACGATCAGAAGAAGCCCAGCACGTGTCTACATTGCAAGTTGCAACAGTCATTTACTTCTAGCAATACCACAAATCTCCAGTAATCTACAATGCGAATGCCCTACTTCTGCAACACTGCCGAATAATTCGTTGCGTAATAATAGGGTCACACGCCACCAAAGTCACACCCTCACTTATTAGAATCCTCCTTTTGTGTCCCCTGTCTCGGCTAAGTGCGAGCGAAGCATCCGTTCCACTCGGGAATCAGTTTCGCAATGCATGAATTGGAATCATTATTCAGTGCGAGAGGGAAATAGTTTTCTGTCCAATTATAGTGTTGGATTAGGCGCACTGTTGTGGCTGAACATGGGCGTGTCGCCAGCATGGTGAGGGCTGGCTCGGTTGTGTTTGTCTGCGAGTACTCCCTTCCGGTTCACGCTCTTGATGTGGGGGAGAGGGGGAGGTCCAACCCACGACAGAATCACGGGCAGCAACACAAAGCCGTTCAAGAAGCCTAAGATGCCCATAATGGTGAACATGGCGAAGTAGTAGAGCCGGAACGCATGGTACCTTCAAATCAGCAGCAACAAGACTGAGTTTAACCATCGTGTAAAGTTTAAAGACATACATATCTATATCTATCTATCTATCTATCTATATATATATATATATATATATGTGTGTGTGTGTGTTATGCTCAGACACAGCTAACATCATCGGACGGGTGTAAAAGAAAAATTTGAGGTAGGAAGAAGAAAATTGGAACAAGTGGTTAGGAGGATCAGAGCCTCACTTCACGAAAATCAGAGGAATAGTGGCCGCTATTTGAGTGCCGAAGCCGTGGAGAAGAGGCTCAAACGTCCACTCCAATGCTTTTCTTACTCGGTAGTTGCGAGTGCCATCCACCACCAAGAATGATCTCCCCAAGTAGGTGAACTCAGACGACATTCCAATCTGAAAGCATTGAATTGGATTAGCAAGAATTTGCCACTGCTTTCCTAATCCATTCTGGGTAACTAAGGTGGGATAACCAAACTTCTGAAGGGTTCAGGAGGCAAGAAGGGCAAGATACTTACGACGATGCCGAGATTCACAAGCGACAAAGCTGCGAAGGTGCAATCCAACAACAATTCAGTGAAATCCTTCAATATTTCTTGTTTTGGTGAGACATCAAATTTAGGAAGTGAGAGATGACTTATGATGGTCTCTTGCGGTGCACCACGAAGTACTACAAACCATTTTCCCGAAGAATCAGTGGCCGAAACCACTGATAAACATTATTAAATTCCAAAAAGTCACGATCAGAACCAACAAAACGGTCCGAACATCACCCATAAAAGACATTATGTTTTTAATTTTAATTCTTTTTTCCAAGGAAACAGTAGCTACAGAAGGTTATCATTTCTGTATCAACACACATTACAAATTCCAATCCTTCATAATTCGTGCTTTTATGTCAGTGCTTAAAACTCGTTTGGTAATTGTGTAGAAGAGGGATAATGAAAGTTGCAGGTGAACTCACAATTCAGTTTAGCCCCGATCAAGTAAACGAATCCATACACTTCGAGATCAACCATTAGCAATACACCGACGATGATCACGGACATGGTTATGCTGAACTGGAAGATGATCACCGCAACAAGCACACCCACTGTTCCAGTCACAATAACGTTAGTAGACGATGTAGATACACCTCAAAGAGTGGATCTTGAAATTGAGGAAACCCAAGGAGACGAAGGCACGAACAAGTGTCACCGTATACATACCAGAGTTCATGAACTATAAAAGAGGAATGTAGCAATGCCAAGATGCACTCACCCAAGGCCAGGCCCACGACGAGGTTAAGATCCCGGTAGCTGTGCAAGTATTGCTCGAAGAAGAGGAAAGGAAATCCATACATGAAGGCAACATCTCCACCGAATTTTGTGTTCAACTCATCTACGACCGCTCTAGTTTGCTTGATCATGGCAAGGTTGGATGAAGTCTTAGCACCCAAGTGCAGCGCAAACATCTGCAAGGATCAAATAGGCATATCAATCAGCCAATTATAGAAACACCAACAAACCTCTCCGATGTGAAACCTGGTGGTGTGTGAGCAGCAACAGCTTTCCTGGAGAGACGTACCCCAGCTTTGCTTGCAGCTATGCGGAAGTTGGGGTTTGGCTTGTAGCTGGAAGCATATGTATCCTGAAAACAGCTGAGCTGTTGACCTGTCGCGTTGTCCTCGCAATATAGATCTTGCAGGGAAATAACTCCTGTTTACAGGAAGATTTCATGATTTTATGACCGCATTATTTGGCAGGAAAGCAGTAAAAGACATCCGATATGTTCCTTGTGAAAAGAGTAAAGTTTGTTATAGATCTACGCAGTGACATACTTTCAAAGCCTCAGGCTTACGACTACAGATTGTGGTACAAATTAATTGCAATTTAAGCAGGGACTTTTCATATCTCCTTCGAAGAGGGAAAAGGAGACAAACCCAGTGGTCCAGACGCCCAGTTTCTGTTGTATTCGTCAAACTCTGTTCTATTGTCTGAAGGAAGTGGCCAGCTGAGATTAAAAGCAATCTTGTTCCACAGATAGAAGTTTCCAAGCGGTGAAGAATCAAGTATCTGCCCCAGTAAAACATAAGCATGAGCACAGAAGCTTCTGAGGATTATTTTATCTCTCACGATCAAGATATGAACAAAATCTGCGGAAGCTGAACGCTTATCACTTGAAGCACATTCATTTCTGAGAGTCTGGAGGCAGGAGAATGACACACGTACTCCTGGTAATGGTGGGTTCCAGCTTGTGTTCTCAAGAGCGCGATAAATCTCAATCAGATTGCTTTGGTGCTTCATGTAATCCACATCCCTTGTAACTATCCACTACAACCGCACCCAAATAATCAATGCATGAATGCATTATAGTCGATTGAAGTTTACCAGTAAAAAAGTTCAATCAAGACAATTACTTAACATCAGCCTTCTACTGAAAAAAGAATAGATTGGGCCACTTCAAGCCTTGTCAGATCCTGTTAAACCAGAGAAAACTTACAACATCGTAACTTGTAAATCTCTCCTCGGTTGTTCTGGCAAATGTATTCTGATAAGAACCTACAGTGTCAACACACGCCTATTAGACATCAGAGTTTTAGTATCGTTCGTGAGCTTTAAGATATCGTATGTCAAATCAATTCCAGAGAAATTGAATCATCCCTTTGGTGAGGAATCAATAGATACCAGTCAAGGTGACGTCTGAAAGCTTGAGTCCATGCTCCACCCTCTCAAAACCCAGATATGTCATGGACACAAGCAATAATGCAAAGACAACCACCTGCAAAGAGAACCAGCAAAGCAAGAACTCACTTGCCGATATCAACACAACTCCTTGGAAATGTTTGGAAGAATGCAACAAAGGACTCAAGATTCAACAGATTTGTGTATTTTCCCCTTCGAAAACAACATGAAACTGGATGTAACGTGTTTGCTTGAAAAATGGAATAGGTAGCCGATGAGGCTTTCATTCAGAGGATGTTTGTGGAGCTTACCACACAAACTTTGAAGTAATTGCTTTCGAACAGCGGTGCGTAGTGTGTCGCCACCCAACGAGATATTGCAGAGCTGCCCGAGCTGTTCTGGAACGATGGATCCGACGCATCGAAGTGGTCTCCATTTGAAGCTGTAACCAATACTCCAACGTCAAACTTTGCACCTGATTCTTCTTGCCAAGAGTTAATACATGCATCTGAATGTCATTTCTTCCACGTCAAGAGAGATTAGACTGACGAGTTGTAAGAAATTCTAACCTTCTGGTTTATAGCTCATGTTTCGAATGCCGCAGAAAAGCCATAAGTTCGGGTCGTTGTAATGAGCCTGATTAGGGTCAATCTGTGTCTTAGCTCAACATTCGCAATAGGATTATGAACTTAAAAGCTGTATCCTGATCATGATTATATTTTTACTAGCTTTTTACGTCACCAGAAAAAAAACGTTTCAAGAATTTTAAAAAATTAATATACGATACCTTCACTCTCCGGGCATCAATAGCCATGATAGGCATGAAGATGAGAATCATTCCAAGCGTGTGCACAGTAGCAGTCAATCCCATTTGCCAACAAAACCACTGCGCTACCGGCATTGGATTCTGTTTCACAACGTTTCAACACAATCAGATTCTCCCAGAACGTCAACAGAAATTTGTTGCTTTTAAATAGGAAACCATATCCAATTTGTGCAGAATGGAATTTATATTACGGTCACGTCCGAAGTGCATTTGTTCCCTCTGCGAACAGTTCACAATAGATAAGAAAAGTCAAATTGTTGTTCAGGGAGAAAGTCTTAACTATAGAAGAAATGAAAAATGCCGCCAGAACAGAAAATGTTGTGAGGACGACAGAGGGCCCAGCAAGTGCTAATGTCAGTCTCATTTCACGGTCAGGAGTTGGGTCATTAGCAGTGCTTAGTGCTTGCAATTTTGGATCCTCCAAGTAGTTTCGCAAAGTGTTCACCAGAACAAAAACGTCATCGATACCTGCACACAACATCATTAAAAGATCAAAGATCAAAGTGAACTTAATTGAAATTCAACCTCGTTAATTTCAACTGCTTTGTCTGCCGCCAATTCATTCTGCACATTGCTCAACTTGATCGAAGCTCAGACTCACCTAAACCAAGCGCAAGAAAGGGCACCACCGAGCCTGCTAATGGAGAAAATGCAATGCCACAAATGGCAGTGAGGCCGAATCCAGCCAGCACAGAAAAAGACACCACCACCATTCCCTGCATGAGGACGTTTGATTCACCTTATTTAACTTCATTCCACGGATTCTAGAAGAAAATGATGCTTCACGACAAGGCTTGCGATAATTTGAGACTAGCTACAACAAGATCCTACGCACCAACTCTTACCAGGCCTGCCAGAGTGGTATGTGAATGCACAGGATTCCGGACGTTGAGGAATGCTATAAACCCATAAATGGAGACGAGCACTACGCCGAGGATAATTTGCCACAGAGGAGCTTCGCTTGCTTCTGCAATAATGTCCCGGGTTGATCTCTACATCCAATAACAAGCACCAGATCAAGACGTAAATCCATCACCTGGGCTTGATCATAGAAGCCCCTAGTGGTCCTTGTAAGGACATATATATACTCTTTCAAAGGAGAAACTAGAAGAAAAGAAGAGATGGACAAGTTCTGCTCTGCCTGGTGGGTGGTTCAGTATTAAAGCCATACATACCCACATGTTGAATTCGACCTGAAGGTCTTCGTATTTTTCTCCACCTCCAAAGGAAGTGTTCGTAGCATGCCGTCTCAAGGGGTTTAAGTTGTGAATCATAAAATCCTCCCAGGCTTTAACCAGGCCCTCCCTTTCTCTCGAGTCAGTATTCACTCCTAATCTGTTGCTAATGTATTCAGTGAACAGAGGGTGATCGTGGTGATAATTGTTGGATCCCCAGCGCACGCCCCCAATCTGTGCGAGAGAATTTTGCCACAACAAATCCCAGCTCACAGTTGTTAATCAGTTGTAGTTGAATCTACAAATGTGACGAGAAGTTTCAAAAAAAAAATTGGAAGGTTTTGATTCAGTGGAAGAGGAACGAAGGGGAAATGCCTTGGTAATGTTCTTCCTTGAGGCGTCATACTCTACGCTTCCAAGGGCTGTCAGAATGGGTGTGTGCGCCCCAAACCAGGTCATGCAACAGGGCAACTTCTGAAGGATACAATCCGTAATCTGCAACCAACCATGCATTTATTCACAACTGCAGCATTCAGGATATTCTTCAGATTGATGTAACAACTGATATAGAATAGCTCACATAGAAGGTGTGGAGCTTCATCAATATGGTATCATGTGACATTGGACAGGACGAGCTCCACACTTTTTTAATATTAGTCCCCGGAAAATGGAGCACTCCACCTGTGGTGTTCCAACATCAGAGCTTCTATGACGACTGTTCTCCACAGCCATATTGATATGGTCCAATATCTGCCGCGAAACCAAGCAACATCAGCAAGCATTTTGCAACCACATAGTACTTATCAATGAGCAGAGGTTGAAAAATTGTTTAAATGTAATTTGTTGGACCAGGTTTTTTGCACTCCATGCTTTCCAATCAATCTGCATCCCTCCGGATTTATACCCATTTGCGTTCTTACTTCTTCATTGGACTTCATTTCAGAATAGGATTTGCGCCAGCGGTAACCCCAAACGAAGGCAAACTTCATTGTTGTTATGATATCGTTGATGATCTGTCCAGACACACGTGCTATTAGTTTTCTACAAAAAGATTCACTTCTACGAGCTGCCGTTAACTGCTTGGGAACAACCACACCGAAATAGAATATGGTTGCAGTGTAGGTTAATGACCTCTTTTTGGTACAATTGAATTCTAGATTAAGGCAATCCTCAACTCATAATAGTCTTCGAAAATCACAACAACCTCAACCGTCCCAAAACGAAGCACAAAAAAAAGCAATGCTAATTCCTTAGAAAATTGCAAATAGGACGACGTCGTGGCTGGAATTTCTACCGGCTCAACTTCAGCAGTGGGTCTCCCACTTCCCTTAAACTGCGTGGTGATGTTTGTTCGCAAGAGGTTGACGCATTTCACAGGCGCACTCGTCATTTGGTATACTCCAAGCATAAGATCAACAAGGGTGAGATTTGTGAATTGCCCAAGATCAGGAACGGGCCTTTCCAGAAGCTTCAGCTCTACTGGGTAATCGAAGTCACCACCTTCCTTAAAACAATCCAATGGTGTGAGCTTGGTGCATGGAAACCTTGTTATTCCCCAGCCTTCGGGAAGTGCCGCTGAAGCAGGCACTCTTCCAGTGTACGCCCAGAACACAGAACAAGTGGACATGTATTGTAGTCCCCATGCTACCCAGTTGTTATCTCTCATGGGGTACTTTCCAGGCTTCAGTGAAGTAGGAACGATTGGCCTCTCACAGAAGTCGACCTATCATAAAGAAAAACGAATTGCAAGCAAGTGTTAAGACAGCAACATACCCTAACACTGTTGTATCTTCCGTCTCGAAGTAGTTTAAGTTGGCGCATAGTTCGAGTACAACTGAGATCGATTTGTTTTTGTTTTTGTTATTGTTTTTTGTTTGTTTTCTGCAAACGTCAAACTTCAAGTAGTAAGGTTCTGGATAGGCTTAAGGGTGCTTACATTGCCCAACTGCTGCTTTGCACCTCCCAAAGTTGTCTCCATATTCAAGTTGTCGTAGAGTGGTCCAACAGCCAGAGCCAATGCATCCATTGATCGTTTCAAATCAATCTGAGCGTCTGGCGAAGACCGCGATGTCACTGTGACAGACTCCTTGCGTGGAATTCCACCAAACCTGTAGTGCCAGCAAGTATGTCGATCCATGATGGACAGTAGCGAAGTCCATTCAATATATGGGCTCACGTTAGCAAATGTTGTTAAGTATTTTGACTTCGAGGCTCACGAGGAAATTAAATCATTCACCACAGTTTAACAACATTGTCGATGTCAGGCTCAACTTGTGAGTTCCTTTTGATAATATGAAGAATGAGAAGTGCACCAACCTCTTATTGAAATACAAGCGTTCCTCCACAACACGGGAATTGTGCTCTACCCAGAGCTTTTCCAAGTCTGTCTCAGTGGTTCGCTGCACCAAGCCAACCGTCAACCCTCCCAAAAGTAGGACTCCGAGTCTAATATATCAGAGAGGAAGAACCATTAGTGTAAACCATTTGTGGCGATGTTCAATAATCCATATCAATAGGCACATTCATTGAAATCTGGTTGAGTTGAAAGCCTTACATGAAGGGTATCCAGGGCTTCCGAGCAACGAATGAGCCATAGCCAGAGAAGAGATCATTCATGACCAGATGGTACCGGTACAAAGACCTCCGATACCCATCCAGAAGCTGCACGCAACAAAGCACAATTCGTGCAATTCAGTGCGAATGAGGAGCTTCACAGCTTCAAAGCAATTTTCTCGGATGAATGTGGAGTATTTCTTTCAACATTTGATTACTTCAAACTTGAAACCACGTGCTCTGAAGATGAGTAAGATTTTAGTGAGAGTAGAGGGTACCGCTTACCCCCATGGTTTCTTGTCGTACCCTTCTAAGTAAACAAAAAATAAATAAAAGAAAACTACTTTGTCTGTTGATTATCAGTTTGATTGCAGTTCCTTAACTACAGTTGGTGCGCCACATTTTTTCCACCTGCCACAGCACAGAAAACTCTTAAAACCTCGTACAAAGAAGCTTTCTGAACTTGGGATGATTAATCTTCTTTGTAGAGATGTGTAAGCTTTCAGTCCAGATTACAAGTATGTTTTGAAGCAGCTCGGAGTTTGAATACTGTTAAAGCGAAGTATCATGATGCTATTTTTCTGGTTATTGTTCCGGCACAATTAACAGTTACTACTTAACTTCCACGACATGAATAACACCGTGTTTGTGACCGAGCTGAAAGTACTGGTGTACTCCTCATCAATGTGAAGAAATTATGCAGTTGAAAACCGTTCTAAAACCTTCCACCACGAGTGAATAGTGGCCATCGCGTTAGAAGAGAGAAGGCAACCAGCTACAACCAGACGGAATAGCAACAACCTTGACGAAGACCCCTATCTCATTCCTGCAGACTTTAACAAGTTGCTTCACTGCAGATCATTAAAGTGCGTGTTTCCGAGCTCTGTAACCCTGAAGCCTGGTCGCAAGCTTTACAAAGACCCTGTCTTGCATGGACGCTCCACCTCGGAGCAGCAGGTCTACAAAGGTTTCTTTAGAAATTTTCTGTGAGCTGTGAAGAGCAGTCCAACTAATAAAATAAATGAATAATTAAATAAAAGTGTTTTAGAATACTACAACAGTCCACAATGAGAAATACCTCACATGGATCGAAGCTCCGGATATTAAAGAAGAAAGCGGGAGACATTGGAATCTGCCATACGATGTCACATGCAACCAGGATATATTACTCAGATTAAGTTCTAGCTCCTCACCAACAACAAGCTGTCATCATGCAGCACGGCATTACCACGGCCGTGACAAACTTGAGGTCGGCAAGGTAGACACAGCCATGAACTTCCAGAATGCACCCGCAGCAGCTACAACCTCCACCGGAGAATGGGTACTGACGGGTCCTACAACTGCCAAGGCACGCTTGGCCAATCATCCCAGATTGGATCAGGCAACGACGCTACAGTACGGAGGAGACGACATACTGTTTTTAAGCCAGCGGAGATGATACAGAAGGCGAGAGCGAGACAGAGCACTAGCAGAAACACAGAGAGAGAGAGTGTGTGCGTGTGTGTGTGTGTGTGTGCATCGAATCCTCGACAGATGAGTGTAAAGGATGTGTACCGAATGCGTCATTTATGAGAGTGTCAGGCCACCATCAATGGCGGCATCAAAAGGTTTGAACTCCATTCTTTACACCGCACAGTCGCATGATCATTCCAGAGCACGGCGACAGAGAACTCACTGATTAAGCTAAGCTCCTGCCTCTCCCTCAGGTGTTGGATTTAAGCGTGTGAGCTTCATCGACATTCCCACTAGTGCAAAGCTTACCGAACAACGACAGAATACACAACCCAGTTCACAGAAACAATGTGGAATCACTGTGAGCATGGCAAAGGGGAGATGTGTGCGGCTGATGGACTTTCCTTCCTCGGAGACGATGAACTGCGGCAGTGGCTATGAAACTTGGCACCAGGCTTGAAAAAACACTTGATGTGATTCAGCGAAAATGATTTCATTTGCGGCTCTGGCTGTCACCAAACGACGGCTGCCGTCGCGTGACGGCACTAATCTGCATAGCAAACTCTGCCGAGCTACCCACACCAAACCTTGTCGGTACCACTTCAAGCATTCATTTCTGAATTTGTCGAGTTTTTTCTGCTTTTCTTTAGCTCTTTTTGACTACGACTACCATGAGACTTGTTACTGTGATGCGTTGTTTCAGAGAACCCGCTATGATTGTGTAGAATAGTGGGACTTTGCAGTCATGGTTGTGTCGAAAAGTGTGATGTTTCTACATGAGTTTGTGTTCATGGGTAGTATAAGTTCAACCCTTAATTCTTTGCTTCATTGCATGCCTACAATTAGATTAAATATTAAGCTTGATGTAAAAGTAAGAATTTTCATTGTATGAAGATTTCTTTAGATTTGGCTTCGACATGCTTATCCTCAGGATGCTAAAGAAACTTCTCGTTTTGATGTTTCTGTATTTTGGAGAATAGGATGCATGAAGAGTGTTGGAATTCATTCAATCTAGTGAATGATTTGGTAAAGTTGAGATTAGCTTAGAAAATGCTTTATATACTTAAATCATTTTTATACTTAAAAATATATATTATTTTTAAATTTTTTTGACTTTAAAATATCAAATCTATGTAAAAATCAACCGTTGTTATAAATAACCTCTTTCCAGTCCCAATTTACACGATCTATACTATGTTACACTATATAGTCAATTTTTTCTTTGGTCTCAAGAAGTTGACTATAATATGGGTTGCTTGACCATATATATATATATATATATATATATCCATGCATATTAAAAATTTAGATAAATTCATTAAAAATATTCTTAAGTTGTGAAAATTTATAATAAATTTAAAAAATGTAAATCCTCTAAAATCTAAAAATTACTAAAAAAAATAATATTTCTATATTAAAATAAAGCATAATTTTAGAATGTTTTGCAATACCACTCACATTTTTTAAACATAAAAAAAGTATAACTTAGACAAAAATATCATATTATATTTTATGCTATAATTGTTTAGCATATATTTTTACCAATATGATTACATTTTCATTATTATTTTAACTTTTAAGTTTAGGTCATATGATTATAATATCATATAAGAGATTGTAATGTAATTGATTGAAATAATGTTTTTAATGATTAAGATAACTTTTGAAATTATAAGTATAGATTTTTGTTCTTTAGCTCTATTATTTAAATTTAATCTGAAATAAAATCCTTCAAATAGTACATAACATGAATACTTTTTAAGAATTATTATTTTAATATTTTAAATCATTCAAACTTTAATCAATGTTTATTTATTGGGGTAGGTATTTGATATGATGATGGATATATAATTAATTAAGTAATTAATTAATCATAAAATTTTAAAAATAATTATGATATTGAAAATTTATTATTTAGAATATTTTATAAATATAAGCTTGAAATACAATTCAAAATTTTATTTTAAAGTAAAATTAAAATAATATAATAAAATTTGAATTTATGAAAAAAATCATATGCATAAGATAATAGATTGTAATTTGGTATTATTATATGTAAAATTTTACAAAATCAAAAAGAATATTTTTTTAATCTATCTCTGATACAAATATCTATCTATATTATAATTTTAAAAATTATTAGCATACTTAAAATATAATAGCTAAAATAAAGCAAAAACTATACAATAAAATGGTTGATAGTTGTAAAAAAGATAAGTGAATTATTTATATATAATTAATTTAGAATTGTAATTTAAAGCCTCATCAAATTAACAAAATATATAATAAAATAATTATTAGTTATTTTCTAATGGTATTCAAGTGCTAAATAATTTTAAACAATGTTAAGATTATTGGTAATACTATAATATTGTTCAAAAATCCTAAAATATTGTATTAGATTATTTTATTTTATGAAATTTTAAATAAAATAAATAAATAAATAAATAAAATTGATAAAAAGTCTAAATTCTAAAAACTTATCTCCATCTAGTAAAATGTTTTCAGCTGTATAATATTTTCTCAGAATAATTAACTGATTTGAACTAGGAATTAATCTACATAATCATAGTTTAGTTTATTAAAGGATATTATGATTTGTTCTTTAACAAATTATAGAAATACTCCTTAAAATTTTATATAGATATTTTTTTAATGTATTTTAAATGACATTGATCATTCAAAAAAAATTCAGTTTGTAGTTTTATAAATAAGATTTAGAAGAGAGTTTATAGGCTTAAAATATTTATGTTAAAATTAAAAATTAAAACATCTATTAAGTTACTAAAATTAAAATAATTGTTTAAAGTTATGTATTTTGTAAATTTAGATGCATATAATTACACACTTGCTATAAAAAAATTAATTTTAAAAATAAAAATATTATTTATACTTTGTAGAATTTAAATTTATCTTTAAAATCACACTAATTTTGGTAAAATTATTTGTTAAACTTAAAGTATATACTAAAAGTTTCATAGAGCTCTCTATCATATTCAAAGTTAGAAAATTTAATTTTTATTTTTTTTCATACACATATACATAATTAAAGTTATGTATCCTACCTAGTTTTTTTATTCCTAAATTGTTGTGTTTTCTCATATAACACATTCTATAAAAAAAATTCAATTTCAAAACTTATTATAGATGACTTACAAGTATTTTTTGATGTTATACATATAGAATTTTTATTCTGAATACATCTATTTTTTATTTATTACTTTTTAAAATTATATTTTTTATCTTTTAATTTTGAATTAGTAGAGTTTGATTATTTAAAAAAAATATGGTATAAATATATATTGTATTTTTTATTCTATATATTATTATGATTTATCTGATAAAAAACTAGAATTTCAATTATCCAAAGTATATCATGAGTAAATGAAGAACATTTTGATGATTCAACTATTTCTTTCTAATTTTATTAATTATATCAACTTAATATTTACTCAAAGATTAAAACAAGATTAAAGTGCATCTTTGATTTTTTTGCTTATAAAAATCTATATCTAATAAGATAAACTCAATGATTTCTAACCAAAAAATATAGTAGAAGATAGATCCTCTTATTATAAGCTAATTAATTATACTATGAAAAAATAAAAAATTAAGTTATTTGCAATTAATTTTTTTTATTAGTGCAAATATTATTTTTTGTATTTTTTCTTTATTTTTGCTTTATTTTTATATTCTAGGTTTGGATAACATATTATACAACATACATAGAATCATATTTTAAACATTCTCACTTATTTCTATATAAAAATAAATATACAGGTGGATTGCAAAAATTATTACATAAATTCTAGTTACTAAAAGTCTAAGAACGTCCTCTAAGATTTACTAATGCTCAATTGAAGTTGAGAATTCTTTTCACAATAGTCACAGTAAATGAATCGTGAATTTGTATATGATTTTTTAAAAAATAATCTGCTAAAAGATAAATAAGAAATTCAAATACATAAAAAATTGCAAATCAAACACTTGAGCAAATCATTGAAAAAATGTATTGAAGGGATGGTGTATGCTTCTTAAGCATTTTAAATATCACATATAGCAAATAATAATGATATTGGTATTTTAAGCATGATAATTTTTTTAAATTATATTTTAAATTTATTCGAAATTAAAGAATTTTTTATTATGCAAGTAAATAGAAATAAATAAATCAATAAAATTTAATCATAAACTTTATATAACAATGTATCTATATTATTTATTAACTTTTAAGAAAATAGCATTCTCAGTTTTGTGGCAAGATGGTTTTTCTTTTAACTAATTAAATAATAGTAAACTTAAATTCTGATATTTTTTAATGATATACTTTAACAATTAAGTTGGATTTACTTATAATTTGAATATTTTATGATATATATTAAATTACAAAATGTTTTGAAATATTTTTTACAAAGAATTTTTTTTAATTTTGATATTTTTTTTAGATCTTATATTATAATATTTTAAAAATAATCTTTGGAGATTATTGAATTTATCACAATATTTTTATTTTCTATACATCTAAATATATTAAAACTATTTTGTCTTTGATTTTTTTTATAGTTTAAAAAATATATATACTTTTAGTTGGTAGATTTATTATGTATGTGCTACAAATTAAAAATACCAAGAATATTCTTGGATTTTTATTTAATTGTATATTAAAAAGATCAAAATACAAAGTTTATAAACTTATCGAAAGTAAAATAATTTAGTTGATAATTGAGAAAAAAATTTAATTATTTCCTATCTTAGCTATAGAGAATAGAATACATAATTAATTTGTGTTTTAAAACTAAAAAAGTAGTAATTTAAAAATTTTAAAATGGATATATAGATATATATATATATATATATATATATATATACAAGTATAAAAACTCTTAGTTAGTAAAACTATATTAGAACTAATCTTTCATTCTCTTTATCTTCCACCTAAATTTTTAACAATTGAAGGTAAAATTTGCAAAGAAATTAACCAAAAAAAATAATAAAAAAAATAAAACAAATAAAAAATAACCCATAAACAATCACTTTACATTGGTCAAAATTTTATACTACATTAACA